TTGTTATAAATTATACTTTTATGGAGTTCAAAGGGTTATATAATATTTAAAAAATATATTAATTTAAAAATTGCTTTTGATAAAGAAATGAACCTAGAAGCAAACCATTTATAATGTCAAGTTTTCTAATATGCTGTATGTTTTCAGTAGATTGAAACTGTTTTTTTTTTTTTCTTTGCCAGTTATTTATCAGAGAGTCTAATGCTGAGAGAAAATAGAACTTGCTTGTCACAGTTACTAGATATAATGAAAAGTAAGTAAAACAGAATACTTTACAAATTGGTCTGTTACAAAGCTGTTTTCTGAATAAATATATGGTATTTAACTTAAGATAGCAGATTTTTGTTTAGATTTACTTATATTGGATTTTTGTATTATAGAAGCATTAAAAATACATTGGTGGAGAACAGATAAAAGGTACATGGAAGGAACTAACTTAAGGATGTTTGAATTCAGTGAAGGAACTTAGAAGATCCTTCACCCTCAGCCTCTTGAGTGTTAGAATAACAGGCAGGGACCACCACAACATATATAGGTCTTCAGACATATCAGGAAAAGAAAATCCGATTCAGAAGGGGATTTGTGAGCCAGCAAGATTCTTTTAAAGTATACACAATCATGTGATAGGCACTAAGAAAGATCAAAGGAAACTAACTTATGGATAATGTTTAAATTTAGCATGTCTATTTTGTATATATAAGTCAATTTTAACTAGCTAATATGTCACTTGTTGGTCATTTTGCTAGTTGATAATAACAAAGGCCATGGTTCTTAACTAGGGGTAATTTTTACAATTTCTGGAGATATTTTTGACTGTCACAATTTAGAGGGTAGTAATGGTTAACAGCATCTAATAGGTGGAGGTAAGACTGCTTCTGAACATCCTGCAGTATACAGGAGAGCTCCTGTAGAAAGCAAAAAAAAATGGCTTCCCAACAGAGATCCAAGTCCTATTCCCTGGAACCTGTCAATGTTACTTTCTATGGCAAAAAAGAACAAAGTGAGATTGTGGGTATTTGTGGATAATTTAACAATCCTGAGATGGTAGCATTGATCTGGATCACTGAGGTGAGGACTAAATGCAGTTACAAAGTTTCTTATGGGAGAAAGGTAGAGAGAAATTTGATACACACAATGTTTAGACAGCAGAGAATTTGAAGATGCTGGTTTTGAAATTTATAGGAATGTGGCCACAAGCCAAAGAATGCTGGCAGCCACTAGAAGTTGGAACAGGCAAGAAATGGATTCCTCATTAGAATCTCCAGAGATAGTTACCCTGCCCATACCTTAATTTTGGCTGAGTGAACCTGATTTCACACTTCTGGGCTACAAAACTTTGAGAGAATATATTTTGGTTATTTAAAAATGCCACATTTATGGTAATTTTAATAGCAGGCTCAGGAAACTAGTCTAGCCCTTTACAGCAAAGAATAATCCAGCCCAATGTGTCATTAGTGCTAGTGTTGAGAAACCCTGTTTTAAAGACTGAGTAGAATCTCTACATAACTGATTGGCATTCCTCTTCATTCTTATTCTTGCCTATGACACACTGATTTTTCACAGCTACTAGACTACTCCTTAGAGTTAAAATTTCTTTTGTTCACAAAATTTTTGTGACTATTAATTAAATTTGTAACTAAATGTTGACTAAACCAATAAAATATAAGATTTCAGATCTTGATTTGGGATGACAGTAAATATAAACATTCTTATGTTTACTTTAAAAGTTAGGATGTTTGGGGGCATATAGACTTCATTTCTTATTTCTCCAAAGTGATCTTGAGGGCTAAGGGCTTTCCTCTTTGAGAATGATGGATTTGATCATAAGCTGTAGGTCTTCACTTTTACCACCAGAGGGTTCACTTCCAAAGCTAATTGTTATTTGGCCAGATACCTGGAAGGGAGCCTTAAAGATAAACCACTGTACTCATTTAAAGCTTTGAATTTTATTATTAATTTCTCAGTACCTTTATTTTTTATTTATTTATTTATTTTTAAATATTTATTAGTTATCAGCAGACATAACATCTTTGTTGGTATGTGGTGCTGAGGATCGAACCCAGGCCGCACGCATGTCAGGCGAGCGCGCTACCACTTGAGCCACATCCCCAGCCCCAGTACCTTTATTTTGTTCCATTTATTTATATAGGAAAAAAATAATTCTCCATAAAATACTGAGTTTGAACAATGTTAAATATTCATGAGTTTAACACAACAAGTATACTGAGTTCTAAGTATTAATTCAGTTGAAAACATTACTTTGTTTGCATTATGAAATAAATCAGTAATATAGTTACCCATTTGGAGCATGTGGCTGGCTAATAATGAGCCTAGATCTTTGTTTCCCTAACCTTGAAATTTATATTCTTTGATTTACTACACTTGAACAACAAGATCAGCTAGAGGATTTTTTTAAATTTTATTTTATTTTTTTACAGTTATAAAGTTACTAATAGTTTTCTTTTAACCTAAAGGAAGATATGACATGGGTTTATTTATTTATTTATTTGGTGGTAGGGTCACTGGAGATTGATTCCAGGAGTACTGTAACACTGTGTCACTAAGCTACATTGTGATTCCATGCCACCGGCTATGTATATATAATATATATGTGTATATATATATATATATATATATATATATATATATATATATATATATATTTAACTTATTTATTTTTATTAATTAGTTTATTTTTTTAAATTTTGAGGTTGTTGTTGCTAAATTACCCAAGCTGGCTGGCCTTGAACGTAAAAGATCCTTTACCCTCAGCTTCTTGAGTGTTAGAATTACAGGCAGGGACCACCACACCCAACTTGACATGCTTTTTACTATACTAAATGTTCCTTTTTTATTACATGTTATATAGTAACAGTTTCTTTTGTAAACAAGAAGTATACTCTTCACCCTCCGTCTTTAAGATACAAAGTATGTTCCCTATGTTTGTGTAGGAATTTTTAAAAAGAAAAGCTAAAAACTTAAAAGTGAACATGGTAATATTTGTAAAAACATTAAAATACATGTTTATCTTTATGTACCACATAGATGGGATAAAGAGCAGTCAGCTATAAATTACTGGAATTTAAGTGTGGTACTTCTTGGATTTTAATCCAGAATAACAAATCCTGTTAATCATGTCGAGTGTTTTTTTGTGATTTGCTATAACAAGACGGGAGATTATTATTCACTCCCTTTACCATGAGAAACCTTTTTATAATTCAGTGTAAATCATTTTTTATCTCCACACAGGCATGAGAAACTTAGTGAAAAAGTATGAACCACCCAGATCTGAAGAAGTTGCCATTCTAAAACAGAAGTTGGAGCGATGTCATTCTGCAGAGTTTGCACTTAATGTAATTACGTAAGTAGAAAGAATTATTCAGATATACTTATAGCTGTTATCTAATCCAACTAGTTTTAAGACTGTAATTTTATTGTAAAAATTTGTTCGTGTGGGAAAAACTGACTTGTTGGTCAGATTTTTTTTTTTTTTTTTTTTAGCTGAGTACAGTTCTAATAGGATTAAACATAATAATTGATTTGGCTTCCCTTGTACAGTTCTGATTCTGCTTTCACCAATGGCTTTGGCTTATAGGTCTTTTCCTATTCTGTTCCTCCTTGTAGGAAATCAGTGGGCAGGCTGTCTAGAGAACTCCTGAACCTTTTCCTGCCATTTGCTCTGAGGAGCAAGCATATGGTTTAATAGTTTCTTTGAGTAACAAATTATATTGAAGATAGAACCAATAGGAAAATGTGCTATTAGATCTTTTCTTACAGCCACGGGAATATCCTTAATGTCTCTTAATTTGTAGGCTAATGTGGAATAACCATAAAATTTACACTGTTTTATATAAAGGATCCACTTAAACTTTAGATGATAGGAATGATGAAACTAAAATGTTCTACATCTTTGGTGGATTGCATTCTAATTAGAAATTTCTTCTACTTTATTAAGATTTATAGTGGGAGTTAGCTGTGGCCTCTGAGAGTTAAGATGTATTTTAAATATTTTGATTCCTATATTTGGTGAATATATGCTAATGGATATGTATGAAAATCCTGAATGACATTTTCAGAACATTCAGAACAGGTATTATGACTCAGAATTCCTTAACTGTACAGTTGTAGTAGGGGAATATCCAGGAATGTATGGAGTGTACAAATTAAAGAACTATTTTTTTTCTTTTGGTACCAGGGATTGAACCCAGGGATACTTAACCACCAAGCCACATCCCCAGCCCCCCAACCCTCGCCTTTTTTTTAAGTTGCTGAGGCTATTTATGAACTTGTGATCCTCCTGCTTGGCCTCCCAAGCCATTGGGATTATAGGTGTGCGCCACTGTGCTCAGCTAAGATACTATTTTATTATAATCATAGCTATAACTTGCATGGCTTAGCATATATCTTGAAATTGGTAAATTACATCAATTTCCCAGATTTCAGTAGTAACTATAGAGTGTTAGAAGGTTATAAAGAAATAAAAACATTTACTTTAGTGAATAAAAGTATTAGAGAACTCATTGGGTTTTCAGGTTGATTTTGAAATGGGCTTAAGCCAGGAATTGGCAGATTGTGGCCTACCAGCCAGATCTAGCTTTCACTTGTTTATATTGGAACATAGCTACCCATTAGTTTACGTATTATTATAGCTGTATTCATGTCATAGCAGGAAAGTTGAATGTTGTGACAAACTGATTATATGGCCTGCAAAGCCTAAAATATTTACTCTTTGGCCCTTTAAAGAAAGTTTTCAACCACTGCTTTATTTAGACTATTAAACTATTATTCTTGCTAAGCAACTCATTCAAAATTCCTGATTGCCAGAATTTTACATATTACTCCAAGTTATCATCTGCTTAAGACTCTTTGACAATTGAGATTGTACATGAGCACCTGAAGACTGCTTTTCAAATTGTAATATTTTTCTAAAAAATGTAAGACATACTTCTGTAAAATATAATAAAAAATGATTTGCTAGAAAAATGAGACATACAAAAATATAAGTTTAAATTTTATTATGAACAGTCAAAATTGTTCTGTTAAATTGATATGAAAGTTTCTAAATACACAATTTCTATACTACTGATCTCACTGCAAACTGGAAACAGTTCAAGAACCACACTATGAGTAGTACTACTTTAAGACAAAATATTTGTTCTTTGACCTTTAAAATTATTTTATTTTTTTTTCATTACACAAGAACTATATTGTCAGTCAGTCAACATGGGTTAAATCAAAGGTCCCTTTGACCAAAACCCAAATCTCAGGATCTCAGAAGTAACTTATTATTTGTTGCCAACTTTTATCAGGGTGTGTGTGTGTGTGTGTGTGTGTCTGTCTGTGTCTGAAATAAGTATATCTGTTTTCCCTTTGTATGTTGTCATGCATATTGTACAACACTTATATTAATCTTTGCCAGTGTGGGTGAAAAAAACCTTCACATTTGTATTTTAATTTGAACTTCCCTGGTTACAATGAGGCATTAATATTTCCATGTTTAACATTTATATTTCTTCCATATTGGTTACTTATGACCTTTCCCACTTTTCTGGTGTTTTTATAATGCTTTATATAAGTTCTGTATGCTCATCTTTTTATATGTGATTCAACTATTTTATTGTTTGTTCTCACTTTTTCATATATGATTTCTTTTGCTTTATAATTGTATATCCAAATGTCTTTAGTATTTTTCTCTTTGTTCTGCTTGTAAAACCACTTGGAATTGATTATGAATTTGGTAAATTTTTTCCAAATATTTTTCTCCCTGATTGCTTTTGAATATTTGTTTTTCCCATTTAATTGAACTATTCTTTGACAGATTAAATTCCTATGTATATAGTCATTTCCTACCTTCTTTGATCATTGATGTATAGTTGTTAATAATATGCTTTTAATTACCTTAGTTTTTAGTTTCTTTTTATGATAACTAAGATAATATTATTCTTTTTCAGATTCTCTTCCCATAATCTTTCCTTTGTCAGTGGTAGAGTGACATGTTCCAAGAAAAAAAAAAAAAAAAAAAAACTAATTAGAACTGCATTCAATTTAAACATTGATTTGAAAAGTAATGTCTTTCCATAATTCTTTTTCTTTCCACTTATCCAGGCCCTGTTCTTTATTACATAAAATTTCAGATTACCCTTGTTAGTTTATTGCCAGTTTATATTTTTTAGTTTCTGTTTCCAATACCAGATTGCTTATTGATAATTGCCTAATTACAGAAAGAAGAGGAAAGGTTATGAAGATGATGATTATGTATCAAAGAAATCCAAACATGAAGAGGTATGTTTACTACAAAATGAACTTTAACTCATACATTCTGGTATGACATATAGTTGAGATTTATTGTTCTGGATTATGATGGAGATTTAGGTTTTCCAAGTCTTCATTTTTTGCATACTTCTTTCTGTATACTGTCCATTACATAGGGATTTTTCTTGCTTGCCTTAGCCTGTTCTGAAGCATGTAATAGTTATTTGATGAAGAATCCTTCCTATGTTCCTAGAAGGCAGCAGGGATACAAACACATGCTAAGTTTTTGCTTTGTTTCTTATTCTCCAAGAATTCTTCCCTTGTCTCTTTTCTTTAAAATTGGCAAGCCAGAGATAAAATGAAAAATCAGAGGCAAAAGGTCACAAGTATAAGCTTTACTCCTGATTAGAGTGCTCTGGTGAGATCATGCCAGTATTACTATTAAGATTATGATGAACTTTCCTGTTTTATCTTCTATAAGCATAGGAAAAAGAATATTTTCCTAAGGAGAGGAAAGGAGGTAAAATACACTGATTTTGTTTCAACATCTTATCCTTAACAGGTTTTCTTTTCTGTTTTTTCCTTCTTAGGAAGAATGGACTGATGACGACCTAGTAGATTCTCTCTAACCATTTGAAGTCAATATTGTCAGTGCTAGCGAAAGTAGCAGAAGTAGGAAGCGTATGTGGCACTTTATTCAAAAAGTATAATGTGAAAATATCAAAAATATATTAAACTTTTTTATTTGTTATTTTCCTTTTGTGAAGTTGCTTTATATAAAAAATGTCTTTATAAAAGCCAAAATGGAAGGAATTAATTTGAACAATCATGCCTCCCCACCACAACTAGTATCAAATTAAAACTGTAATGTGTTTATTGTTTTAAACAAAATGTGATAAGTTGAAAAAAGGTCTTGCAAAAATCCAAACTTAGTGGTCACCTTTAAAAGTGCTAAGGAGTGTGTTTTGCCATCTGGAAACTTTTGTAAATGCTAGCCTGATACACTTATTTGTGCATAACTACTGAATTGCACAACATACTGCAACTATTACTTGGTAATGAAAAGCAGTCATCCTAGGTAGTGAATTTTTTTTTGTCCTTAATTAGTTATCAGAAAACATTTCCAAATATATTTTTAAAAAATCCAATATGCATTCTTGAGTAGCTGTCTAGATAAGAATTTACTTATAATCTACTATAGTACCTTATATGAATCCAGACAAATAGGTGTTACAGTTATTAGTAGTTTTGAAGAATATGGCATCAAATTATTTTGGTATTTATCAGGGCTGTCTCTTCTTTGCCATATGACCTTTTAAGTTACTAAACCTCTGTGTACCAATTTTCCAAGTTGAAAACAGGAAGATAATGTCCACTCCTCATAGGATTAAGCAGTGTCTGCATATGCTAATACTCAACTGCCCTGAATCTAATTCAATTGTGTGAACACACACACTTCAGACTTGGCGCATCCCAGGCTGCACTGTCTATGAAGATAGGTAGCAGTTTACTTTTGTCTTGGTATATGACAGAAGTATTTATTATGTGCGTATCCATCTCTAATAATTCTTTATATTTTAGGCTTGAGATTTTGGGTTTGTTTTTTGTTTTGTTTCTTTCTTATTCTGGAATGAATGGAATAAAATTGACAAAATGGGACTTGACAAAAACTAGAAGCCAAAGCTTATGGTTCTCCAATATAGTTCAGGTTAAATGGTACTATGCTAGACACAAAATAGAATTCCAAGGTGTTCACAATTTATGTCTTCCTTTCCTTTCAGATCAATAAACCTTGGCATCAGAGCAAGGTCCACATTTATCTCTGAAAATTTCCTACCCAGCCCCATTAAAAAAAATTAACGTTTGAGAGATTTTATAACATTGATCACCTAGTTACTATAGGGTCTACAAAGGTAAGTAAAAAGTTTCCCATTCCAATTTAAGGGAGTCTCTTAAGTCTTTCAGGTTTCTGTTTTTAGTAAGTGGCAGAAAAGGGAGAAGCATTTCAGACTACAGAATGGCAGATAAATTTGTATGGCTATAGACTGAGGTATGTCTACTGGGAGGGAATTACAATCCCTTGAACTGGAGTGCAGACCTTTTTTCCTGTTAAAACATGTTAGGAGATATCACTAGTCCTTATCTCTTAGTCTTCTATCCTGTAAACCTACAGAAAATAGACCAACTGTGGAACTCTAGCCAAAAAAACAGAAGAAATGGAAAAGAGGAAAGAAGTGATAGAATAAAGAAATAACAAAGGAGAGAATGAAACGCATTGATATCAAGGAAAAGGAGTACAGGATGTATTTTTTGGTATCATCGGTTACCATAAAGCTAACTGACTCTGTAGAAATAATTGCCTTGATAATTGCTGAAAAATGATACTAAGTATCCATATTTTAAATCTTGGGACTGGGGGCATAGTTCAGTGGTAGAACACTGCCTACTTAGCATGCACAAAGCCTTAGGTTCTGTTCCTTGCACTGTAAAGAAAAATAAACCCTTGATTACAAATCATCATTTTCACTCATACATATCAGGTGTAGATTCAAGTGTTGCTCTTGAAATCTAGGCCTTTAGAAAACTTTTCATTACTATGTGAACTGGTGGTCTTCATACCTTGCTTGGATCCTGTCTCACTCAAAACTGTTTACTAACAATAGTTCATATGTCTTATCTCCCCTGTCCAGTAATGGAAAGGAAGGAGATGTTGCTAAAAAAAAAATACATATGGAATGAATAAATGGAACCCTTTTCAAAAGAGACCATTAGCAAAAATACTGACTGAAGTTTCATCTTCTCCCTGGGCCTTGCTCTGGTGCTAAAGTTTGAACTGCCCCTAAAGGAAGAAGAAAATAATGAAATTAAATGCTTAGCTATATTTAGATATAATTAATCAATTATGCAAGATATCCCTTGGTTTTATTTTAACTTAACCCTTGTGAATATTTCACAAAAATACACAAATAAGCAAATAAAACTATACAGTCAAACTAAATATCCAGCAGATGCAACAAGTAGTCAGATCAGAGATGGATTAGTTGTTTAGTGGCTGATGAGGTTGTTTGCACAAAGGGGTAACATAGAAAAATCAACTTGTAATTAAAAGCATTGGAGCATTTTTTTACAAAACAAAACTGGTAATTTATAAAATGTCTGAAAGAGTAACGTGCATTCAGTACAATGACCAGTAATATTTACTGAGTTCAAGCTATTTACTGTTGTAAACATTTAACAAAAGCATTACAAGCTCTAAATACAGTCTTTGACAATTTCAACAAAATAAGTGGTATGTTTAAAAAATAAAGCTGATGAGCAATAGATCAATTCTATATATTTTCTTTCAACAGTTCCAGAAAGAGAAATAGCACAGTATTTTAAAAAAGTATACAGCAAAGATTGTTCCTATTATAATGGCAAACTCTGGAAACTGTAAATACAAATGAAGTCATTGAACAGTCAAATGGTCATATTCCTAAACAGGAAGGAATTACAGTAAGAACAGTCTGCAATCCAGTTATACGCAATTGTCAATAGAGAATGCTTTTCCTCCTCAGTTGTTTTCATAGTTCTTTTCCCGAGAGACAGCAACACTTTGGCAATTGGTGTATTGAAAATATATTTTCAAAGTTCAAGATACAGTCATAGCATTTTTTGTGAAAGGTGATCTGTACACCAAGGCTCAGAGTTTGGTAAAGATTCCATGTGGAAAAAGTGCAAATATCCTGCACAGATAGCTTACAAAATGGCTGGCACAGTTATTACCGACAGAATCTTGGGTTTTGTTTGCATAGCTCACACATCACTGGAATGTGGAAAGGTGTGCTATTTTTTGGCAAGAGCAAAGGAGACAATTATACTGATGTGAATTACCATGTTGGGCATGCTGAATCCATGCAGATCACCGAGGCAAAGGCTGCTACCTGACATCATTGGTTTTTGTATACTGGTTTTGTTTTTGTTGAAGCAGTTCTGTTATAGCCAGAAGCTTTTTCAGTACATGCTAGACAGAAAGAAACAGTGTGAAAATAATTAGTAAATAAATGAAAGCTTGGGCTGAAATTCAGATTGGGAATCTGTATTTGAAAGGAGCCACATCAAAGAAAAGGAATTCATAAAACAGATTCATTAGCAATCTACCCCAAGCATAAAATCGTTGGGTTCCTATTATTCAGACTTTGAGTATGTTTAGTTGTGACCAAGATAACAAAACACAAACAAATTTTTGTTATTCTTTATCTCCTAGAATAATCTCTAGATAGATCATCTTGCCAGAATACATATTTGCCATTAAAAACCTAAAGTTATCAAAAAAATTCTAAAGTAGAATTCTAATGAGGGAGACAATTATCTTAATTTGGAAAAAAGAAAATATCTAGAATACCAGGCTGAAGACAACCCAATCACTAAATGCACTGCTTTAATTTCTTTTGCAAAATCCCAAATGATTATCCAGTGTGACAATAATATTCACTGTATATGTAGTGTGCACTTTGATAAAACTGCTCCCACTTAACTTCCTGAAAGTAGCCCTTATCTCAGTTCAGGCCATACAAAACATAATTCATTTTGTTCTCTGCTTCAAGATAAAGAGGAACCAGAATTTTAAAGGACTTATTTGAGTAGTATTCCAATCTGTATATGTTGAGTCTAATAATATCAAGTAGTATTTCTTAAATTTAAATCATTGTAAAAGCTTATTAGAAATGTAGTTTCAAAAGCCCACCACAAAATCTCTGGATATGGAATTTGAAATACGTAATTATTTCAGACTTCCCTAATAATTCTCATGTTTCATAATTTGAGAATCACTTTGGCTGTGTACTCCGTATGAGAGAGAGTAACTGAAATAAAAATTTTTAAAAATAACACTATTAATCAGTTCACTTGCCATTTTCACATATGCCATTATGTGAAAGTGTTACACCATCATTTTTTAGTAGAGTTAAAAATTTAGACTAGAGCAGCTCTGCTATTTGGCAGTATCAAAAGTATTTTAGTCTGGGCCCTTTACTATTTGCTGAGATCTTTTTGGTTGATTCTTAAAAATTTAATAACTATTAAAATGTTGATCAGAATTTAGTTATTTACTACATCTCAGAGTCTTATGCTGATATTTTTGCTTAAGTGTTAATAAAACATCATTGTTAATGGTAGCTGGCAAAAACCTACCTGCTGTGCACCTCGCTCATTACTGAGTGTTCTCAGTTCATCTGAATGAGCCACACAAATCTCATGCAGTGCTGCTAAATCACGTGACAGGTCAGTTCTAGAATGCTCTGTAGTGTCCGGAAGTTCAGGTACATTCTTTAAAGGAATCATAAAACTGCATTTAGAACTACAAATCTTTATAATCTCTTCTGAAATGTTCTTAACTGGATATAGTAAACAGAATTTTCAACATAATAACTTCATATTTAAATGTCAGAATTTTTAAAATTGTAAGGGTTCTTATTGAAATATTCAGCATTAAAAGTTCTGATAAAAATGTGGATTGTCGGGCTGGAGATGTGGCTCAGCAGTAGAGCACTCGCCTAGCATGTGCGATGCCCTCGATCTTCAGCACCACATAAAAATAAAGGTATTGTGTCCAACTAAACTAAAAAACATATATATTTAAAAAAAAATGTGGATTGTCTAACTTCTGTATTCACACGAAAGCCAAGATCCATTTTCTTCCACAGCATGGCAGAATATGGCACAACACTGTGAATCTAAAACAATGGATTTCCTATAAGTTAGCATCTAGAACATATGCTAGATAAAGAGTATAGGGATTAGCTACTAATCTAGATTAAATGCATTTTATGAAACTACTGTAGTTTGTCCAAATTGATCAACATATAGGTAGGAACTAAATTACAGTACAATAAAAAAATCTTATCTGTTTTGTAACTGGCTAATATGCTCAAAACAATTACTAATTATACTATCTTTAAGTAAGGTTCATTAAGTAACTTGGTCATTATGGTCAACTTATAGAACTTTTTAACTAGCACTAAATGCTAGAATTATTTCAAACTTTGAAATAAAATTTAATATGGGTTTGGATTATCAATAACTTTATATAAATTCATTCGCCTCTTTAATGATAATGTTTTCTATACATTCCTAAAAATTGGAAAACATTTTTTTGTGGTAAGAAACACAATCAGAACAATACATTCATTCTTATTGACTGTTATTCTTATTCATTCAGTGACTAAAGGATTAAAGACATGTATTGCTTAGTGAACAGGGAAAAAAATTAAACCAGTCATAGCAACAGTTATGTATCATAGATATGCAGGGGGAAACCAAGGAAGCAGAATAGAGAGATGTTTTAGGAATTCGCACTATGCAAATTAATTTGAATTATGCAAGTAGTGAAGGAATAGAAGAGTATGAGGAAACTGAAGGGATATCAGAATATTGCCAGATTACACAGCCTAACTAGAGAATGATAGTAAAGCTGGATTACAGATATTTGTGATTATGGAAAATAAATGGAATTCAAACCACGAATCTAAAAACCTAGAAATATAGCTTAAAATAAGTTATCCAGCCTTAAAGTTGGGCATGCATTTCCCAAACAGCTCATTAAAAATAAAAACAAACAAATCTTTTTCTCTAATCACTAACCAACTGTATTTTTCTGGGTTGTTCTATCTCCAAATTTGCTCAGGAGTTCACAAATAGAAACATAATGGACGTTTAGCATTCACCCTTTTATTTCTCAATCTCCTTATAAATATAGATATTTGCTCTAAAATTCTTTCTCACTAGTTTTTATACCTGACTTGTAAACTAGGAGCCCACAGACAATTCTAATTTGTTTGTCTCAGTGCTGTGATTGCTACTTAAAATATTTTAACAGAATCTGAATGTATTAAGTAAGGTAAAACATGGGTACCTCAGACTAGCATTCCCTAACATCATACATTTGGCTCAGTTCACACCTGAAAATACTAACATACTGACTTTAAAACTGATTCAATGTGAAAAAAAAATTCTACATAATCCATAAAATTTAATCTTACTAAGAAATGCAGGATCTTAGAAATTATAAATATATCCTCATTTTTTTTTAAATTTTTTATTGTTGGTTGTTCAAAACATTACAAATTCCTTGATATATCATATTTCACACTTTGATTCAAGTGGGTTATGAACTCCCATTTTTACCCCATATACAGATTGCAGAATTACATCAGTTACACATCCATTGATTTACATATTGCCATACTAGTGTCTGTTGTGTTCTGCTGCCTTTCCTATCCTCTACTATCCCCCCTCCCCTCCCCTCTTCTCTCTCTACCCCCTCTACTGTCATTCATTTCTCCCCCTTGTATTATTTTTTCCCCTTCCCCTCACTTCCTCTTGTATGTACTTTTGTATAACCCTGAGGGTCTCCTTCCATTTCCATGCAATTTCCCTTCTCTCTCCCTTTCCCTCCCACCTCTCATCCCTGTTTAATGTTAAATCTTCTTCTCATGCTCTTCATCCCTACTCTTAGTTACTCTCCTTATATCAAAGAAGACATTTGGCATTTGTTTTTTAGGGATTGGCTAGCTTCACTTAGCATAATCTGCTCTAATGCCATCCATTTCCCTGCAAATTCTATGATTTTGTCATTTTTTAATGCAGAGTAATACTCCATTGTGTATAAATGCCACATTTTTTTTATCCATTCATCTATTGAAGGGCATCTAGGTTGGTTCCACAGTCTTGCTATTGTGAATTGTGCTGCTATGAACATCGATGTAGCAGTGTCCCTGTAGCATGCTCTTTTTAGGTCTTTAGGGAATAGACCGAGAAGGGGAATAGCTGGGTCAAATGGTGTTTCCATTCCCAGCTTTCCAAGAAATCTCCATACTGCTTTCCAAATTGGCTGCACCAATTTGCAGTCCCACCAGCAATGTACAAGTGTACCCTTTTCCCCACATCCTCGCCAGCACTCTATTTATAAAGGCCTGTATGAGGCATAGGTAGAAACACTGAAGCAAAACACCAAATCCATATTTTATTCCTAGAAAAGCCACAAGAACACCCAGTCTCTAGTCTATTTACTTTTTTAATCTGATCAGAACTGTGGATTACCCATCCTGTTTCAAATCTTATAGTAGATGTAAAGTGAAAGCTAAGGAGATAATAAATACCACAGTTACTGATATGGAATAGCCAAGAAGATAATGAACAGCAAGACAGAAACTAATACATTACACAGGTAGGTCAAAAGCCATAATAATGTATGCTTAGCATAAACCATGAGTCTTTATGACTCAAACAAAAATAAAATCTATTTCAATTCTGGATACAAATCTTCTTAAAGATTTTTAAGTACAGGTCTCAAAGTACTTAAAAATTATATACGTACCCCAAGTTCATCTAAAAACATGATCATACGATGTTTGTTGCTTTTGATGAATGGATTGACACCTTCCATATAAGGCTCCTAAAAATAATTAAAATTAAAAGCTTACCATATCCATCAGAAACAACTGCTTGAAAAACTACACATGTAGCAGGAATTCTTAGAAATCTAATGTCTATAAATAGCAGTTTATAGGACTTAATCACATGACACCATATTTCTTATAAACTGTTATGTTAAGGAGTTACGGCATTTTTAATGAAAGAATGATAAGTTCTGGACCAAAACACAGATCATAATATTAGTCTGGTAGACTCAAATTACTTATATGTACGTTCAAAAGTAATTACTAAAAAACCATCTAGATGTTAGAACCAGCAGAGATTATAAGGAATTTAAAAAATACAGTGTAACATTCCACAATATTAAAATATATAATTTATAACCTGTCTCAGAATTCAGATAAGGAGTTTATAAAACATGGTTTAGCTTTTGAACTTATCAAACTAAAATCCAATAATACTTTAAAATATTCTATAAAACATAAAACGATTAATATTAATACATCTTAAAATGAACAAGAAATTCAATAACACCTCAACAGGCAATTCCAAAGGTGTAGACATGAAAGTCTAAGAGTAATGAAATGAGACACAAAGCAACATTATGCGTATTAAATGGGAAAAAAATGAAAATATCTACTGAGTTTCGACAAGGCTATGGGGAGCAAAAAAATCTTAGGGCAATATAACATAGCAAAAGCTATAATGTGTTTATTTCAATTTGTAATCCTACTTCAAAATTTAGGAAATAAAGGAGAAGCCTGAAAGGAAGTGTATAAAAGGATACTTATTATAGCAATAATAGTGATAAATAGCATGTAAATATCCAAAAGTGATTTACTTCCAGGTATGGAAAGAAGTCTGTCACATATTAAGTGCAAAAGCAGTTGACAATATGATCCCAACCAGAATATTAATAGTTATTTAGTGTAATCATGTGTGTTTTTAAAACTCACCTGAATTTTAATTTATTTATTGTGACATTTCACTTTACTAATAACTTTGTTCCATGATTTTTATATTTAAAAGCAAGGGAATCCTGAGAAATTTGTTTTCTATACTGGTGAAAATTATTATTTTTACCATATAGGTATCTACTACTTAATACGAAATATCTGCTACTGGAAATTTATTTGAGCTATATTTATGACTTTATCATGTAAAAGTTTCCTTCACAAATGACATTTTAAACAAATTGTTTTTACCTTAGCTCCAAATTCCACAAGATTTGCTAAATTCTGCACAGATTTAGCTACTAATATCAGTGTTCTTGCAGCAATCGGAGATGGAGAATCTATAAGAGAAGTGGGCACAGGTAAACAATTCTAAATTTAGCACTTTAGTATTTCATTGCTCTTAAAATACTAACATTCTTCTATTAAGAACTCATAATGCTTGAAAAAAAGAACTTGAGTTCAAAGGGTAAAAAAGGAATACACTTTACTGTGCTTCTAGTTTTGTGAAAAGGGCACTATGAAGTTCAGAAATTCCAAACTTGTTGAAACTATTTCAGAATACCTCAAAAAGATTTTTATTCCTAAAGACTGTCATTCCACATATCTTTCACAACAATTCTCAAAGTCCACATATCTTTCAGAACAATTCACAGAGTTAACTTTAAACCACTAAACAATTTGGAATTTAAGCAATTTCTGGCTCCCAACTTTATTTCCAATTTATCTATAGATAATTCACTTTAAAGAACAAGAACAAAGGTATTCTGGGACCTCTGCTTTATTTATTAATAAACTTCAGAAATATTTTAAAGTTCAGTTAGGATACACTTCTAGAGAACACAGTTGAATGTAAATAAAATTTTTAGCTATTAAATATATAAATATTTATGTTGTAAATATTATAAATAGAAATATTAAAATTAATATAATTATTTACCTGCAATATCCTATAGGCAGTCTCCCTGACTGCTTGATTTTTTTAGATCATACTCTTAAAGCAGCTGAGCTATAAATATTGTTGAGTAGCAGATAAGAGGCCAACATTAAGATAAATGTTTCCAAAAGAATTCTAAACTCCTGAGTCTTAACAGACTCATAGATTTACTCATTTTAATAGCAATAAAAAATAACTACTGGGATGTGGTGGTTCTAAAAGTAAAAATCAAGATATCCCAAAATATTTTAGTTTTGAGCTTCAAATTATTAGGACAGTCAGGTGCAATGGTGCATGCATGTAATCCCAGAGGCTGAGGCAAGAATATTATAAGTTTGTGGCCAGCATGAGCAATTTTGTGAAACCCACTCTCTAAAAATGAAAAAAGCTGAGGATGTAGCTAAGTGGTAAAGTACCGCAATCAGATTCAATCCCAAAAACTGCAAAAAATTTTCTAAAAATTTTTAAATTATTAGGATAAAAACAGATCTGATGTCTTCTATTAATAATGGCTCATTATTAAATTTGAAATTTAAGTATCACAGTTATTCTTTCTTTGAAAGAAGCCTACAAGTATATCCAAAAGTCATTCTATAATGAACATGTAGGTAAATAAGAAAAACTGAGTCACATTGTATTGGTGGTTAAAAAGGCTGATTAACATCATATAACTGGTAACAAATTTTCATGGGAGGAACCAGCTCTAACATAAACAAAGAGCAGTACTGTGAATTGAGGTAGAATTTTAATTAGATCTTAAAAAGAAACTCCAGTGTACATCAATTGGGCATGGATTAAGCACGCAAAATTTCCCAACTTGCAAAGGCCCAATTATAGTCTGTAAAATGTCTTAAGAATTTGAGACACAAGTAGGGATGAAAAGAAAGTGAAATGTGTATAATTCTGCCATCTCAGCCTTAAAATAGTAGATGAAAGAAAAGCTAGGAAGCCAAATAGAAAAGGTAAAGAAGTGAAGAATGAAAGGGAAGGGTGCTTAGAATTTGATAATTTTTCCAAAATCAGATTTAAGAGTATTCTTACCAATTAATATGAACTGTTTGCTAATTTTATTTTCATTTCAAAATTCATCAAAAGCTAATTACCTGAGATGATATTAAACATCCGTGGATTCAGGATGGCAGGACAGATAAGCCGAAGAAAAACAAAACCACTGAATGGGAGGGAAATTTTCTTTTTTAGAAAATAAATATAAACAATTATTAATACTCATAGAACCACAACCTTTACTCTGAATTAACGCAGGGCAGCCCAAAGATAGAAAATTTAAGAAAAAAGTAAATCAAAGCATTGCATTTTGAGAACATGTATATCTACTTCTTGAATATATATTACCCATTTTCTCCAAATTGGGGTTTAGATTAATTTTGGGAAGACATTAAATTTCATACAGCATTTACTATCTTAGCTAAGAATTTCTGAGATGCTATAGTAGTACAAATAAACTCTTTCATAGATGTACAGTTCTGTATTCCTATTACTCTTGATTCTTTTTTATAAACAAAACATCCCAGTAAAGTCTGTTATAAATCAACTTGGTTGTTGTCAATTTTGTTGATGAGTCATAAAAATAGAAATCCAAAGGGACTTCTTATTGGTAAATGAAAGTGTTTACTACAGTAAATAGAATGATGAAAAGCTCTTAATAAAGAAAAATACTTTATGAATTCTAAAGTTTATCAAAACTTATAAAGTTCATAAAATAGCAAAAATTAGTAGAAAGCATATGGCATAATGATGAGATTTTATCTGCTGATTTTACTCAGAGAACAATTAACTAACTTATTATATAGATATATTCCTACTGTACCTCCTTTAGTCACTTGTACCAAGACTATATATATTGTCCAGTAGATTATTTTCTTTTAGGAGGAATCCATACTAATACTTGACCTACTAAAAGACAAGCATTATTCCCTAAATAGTTTATAAAAAGTCCATCTAGAGACTACTGGCACAGTCTTTGTTATTTGTTAACCTGCAAATGTATTCTATATTGTTAATTTTGGACTGTTAGAAAATAAATGCTATTTCTCAAACAGCATTTGTAGCAATTATGTAACTATAATTAAATCTTTAAATCTGGATTTCACTCTAGTAGGCTTTGTGAACCTAAAACTTAACCTGGCTCCATGTAAGAATGCAAAAGTGGACAAATCTACTTTGTTAGTTTTTAGAGATTATTTTAAATTTGAAAGGAATATGTAAGTACCTACACATATTTAAAAGGTTGGTCCCTAAAACACCTTGTGATACTATATCAATATTATAGGAGAAATTTCTACTGTGCTTAACAGTTAATTTTCATGATAAACATAACTATTGAAATATTGTTTGTAATCCTTTTCCTTTCCTCTGTTACCACTATAACCAATAAGTAGAGAATTTATAATTTTTAAATATAACCAATCAAGAGAGTTATTTTGAGGTGGTGTTTTTTGTTTTTTTTTCTCCTCTCTTTGCATAATAGTGGTACGGGGTCTAACAAAGGACTTTTGCACATGTTAGGAAAGTGCCCTGGTACTGAGCTATACCCCTACCTACCCAGGAAAAATTTCATGTGTGCAAGAAGTAGAAACACTTGAAAAAATTTAGATTGGAGGGAGGACTAATACACATTTCAAAACTAATTGCTAAAAGACACCAATATATAATATTATAATATATATATAATATAATATTATATATTATATATATATATAATATATAATATTATATATTAGTGTCTTTTAGTAATTACCTGTTTTTTTGAGATCTGACATAACTGACAGTATATATTTTACATAATAAATTATTAGAAAACTGCTTCATTTCTGATGCATTTGCACTAAACTTCCAATGATGTTGTATTGGTAGGGTTGTGCTTACTAACAAAAGCTTGCAACAATGTTAAAGATATCAGGTTGAATTTGCTTTAGTTCTGTCTTGGTTACTAATATTCCATATATCCTTAGGTGAACAATGTAACTTCTTTAAATCTGTTTCTTCATTGGAAGAGTAAGTTAGAATGATAATAATGAAGTTCCCACATATAAGCTCCCAAATTCCAAAGAATTACCAAAGCAGTTTTACCTAATTATTGTTCAATGATCAAACTGAAACAAGCTTTGGAACTGGAGGCTTTGGCTGAAGATCAGCCCTAAGTAAAAGACTGTGTTACAAATCAATTAATCAGTATATAAATGGTTCAATTATTGCTCTTCTCTCTTAGCACCAAATGTCTCTCTCTTTCTCTATATGTGTATATGTGTACGAATACCTAAATAAAAATGTGTACGTACACACACACAAAAATCAGTGTGTGCTATATAGAATGTTGTAACAAATGAATTAATGAAACTTACCTAACAACTCTTGTTCTCATGGTGGTATTTGTAGGCCATTTGTGTTGAACAGATTTCTGTAAACACCCATAAATATATCTCAGTGTCCTGCCAAAATAACACAATCATCTCAATACAGAAAAAAAAAGTAAAAAATACTGATTTCACGGCAGCCAAAAGTTTTACCCAAATACACCACATTTTAATTCAACTGGCCTTTCCCCTCAAAAAAGTATTTTGGGAAAAGTAATAAGAAACACATTTAGCAAGAGGTAAGGAAAACATAATCCAGTGAGTTTATCATGATCCAATTTAGACTGCCTGTCTTTAATGAAAGTATGGAACAAATATTGGAATGAGGATAGATAACTATTGTGGTATAAGTTCTGTGGAAAAACACTTTGACTTGTTAATTACATCTACTTGAATAAGAACGTTCGCTAACACTGGAGGCCCTTAAGCAGATATAGAATGATATTGACATCTGGAATACATTTTTTAATTTTTTTCTTTCTTTTTTATTGCAGTGCTGGGGAAAGAACCCAGGGCCTTGTGCATGCTAGGTGAGCACACTAGTCCAGAGCCACATTCCTAACCCTCTGGTATACATTTTGAACAAGAAATTCAAATAGACTAAATAGACAACATGTCTTTCATATCTTCTTAAATCTGAGGTGACAGGCCCCCTTTATTCACTTCACAAGATACTAGATATGCATGGTTTGTTTTCCAAATCTAAGTATTTCATTCGACTTTCTTGAAGAATATTTTTCTCTGGATACTTTCACTCTTTTTCCTTAAGTACAGTTCACCTTGTAAAGATTTAAAACTATAACTTTTTCAGAGTATAATAATATCAGGAATAGACAGCTTACATATACTTTAGAAAAACAATTTTTTCAAAACACAAGTAGACAATTCTTGTCAAATGAAGATTTTACTACTTACGGTGGAAGTATTTCTGAAGCCATGAATATTTTCTCTACAAGTTCTGAAAGTATGTTCAATAGGTGTGCTAAATTAGTGTTCACATCTTCATTTTTTTCTAATTTGGATGGACTTAACTAAGGAACAGATAAATATAAATCCATTTTGGCAATGATAAATACAAATAAATCAAGGTAAACAAACAGTTTTCAAGATTCTCAATTTTTCTATTGTATCCGTCTTTCCTTTTATACTTTGCATAAACGGGAATTTTAAGTAGCTGCTCTATCATTCATTCCCAACTATTCAACTGAAAACCAAGCAGTGATTAATTAATTTTATTTATCTGAAGGAAAAAATGATTAAATAAAAAGGCTTTTCTGAATGAGGTGGGACGTATATAATGGCTAATGAAAATACCAATGCCTTAGGCAGAATCATAATCCTTTCTGAAAACTGAAATCTTAAAATTAAGTTCTGGACTGGTGTCAATGGAGTGGGTTTAAGAAAGTATGAATTCCTTCTATTAGGAGTTCAGGGATTCTCTACAGACTTGCTGCATTTCTGCATCATCTTTCATGGTTAGATCAACTATGGCATTATCCTAGATTTTCAACGCCAGATCACTCATCTCTTCCCTTTACTAAATAAGAACTGACAACTTAGTGCAGAATTAACATAATTTTAAATTATTTTTGTCAATGAATCTTTATTTGTATTTATATGCAGTACTGAGGATTGAATCCAGTGCCTCACACATGCTAGGCAAGCGTTCTACCACTGAGCCACAACAGCAGCCCCAGAATTAACATTTTGACAGTTCCAACATTAAAAGAAATTCCTTATTATTCAAAAAGGTATAATCAGTATCTTTCTTTTTAACTGCTCCACCATGAAAATAATATAATAGCCATGTGAGTTTCTACTCATCATCTTATATATAATGAAGCTTTAATCATACTAAAAACATGATTTTATTTGCTTTCCTTATAATCACCTTTCCCCAAAAGACCTTCCAAGGACAAATCTGTGTTGTGAAGTGTTATGTAGTTTTACAGGTTAAGTAAGCATCCCTAATTGGAAAATCCAAAATCTGAAATGTACCTAGTTACAAAACTTGAGTGTTAACATGTTGCCACAAGTGAAAAATTCTATACTTGACTTCATATGGTGTATCTTAATTAAAGCACAAGCACACTAAAAATATCTTATAACATTACCCTCTGTGTGTATAAAGTATATAAATTAGTTTTGTGTACATGGAAATGTCTAAAATCAGGGGCGAGGGGGAATCCCAAATCTGAAATACTTCTGGTCCCAGCATTTTGGATTAAGAGATACTCAATCTGTTCAATAAAAGTCCCTAAAACACTCAAATTTATGTGATGCACATGAAAGTAGCAAATTCTTGTTCATTAGTATAGTAGGAGAAAATTAAAAGGAAATAGTTCTAGACTTTGCAATGTTTTTAGGGAACTTAGAAGCAAATACTGTTACTAAATCATGAATTTCTGGTACAATTTAATAATTTCTAATTCCAAAATAAAGCACATGTGTGATGCTGGAGATTAAACTCAGTACCGTACACATTCTAACAAGTGTTTTATGACTGAGCTACATGCTAAACCCCTACTCCTAAAGTACCTCTTTTTTTAAAAAAAATCTTTTTCACATTTTTATAAATGTATTACATACATGTCCAAATACATTTTATAAATGTATTACAGAAGGTATAACTGCTTTGATGGATAGTTTTAGAAAATGTATTTTCCTTAAAATGCAATTTGTTATAATAATTACTAATTAATATATGCTATTTGCTGAAATACTTAAAGCATTAAATTCTTACCTCACAAGATTGTTTGCTTTCCATTATCTTTAAGATGGAGTCTTTCAAAGCATGATGAACAAATTGTGTAGCAGTGGCTTTCATATATTGCTCCATCAAGGTACTTGCAAGTGTTGTGGCTCTAAACAGAGTAGTGGCTTCATCTACACAAACATTTATATTAAAAGATGATTTGTAGAGGACTCTACTAAGGTGACCAAATTAGAAATTAAATTATTTTTCTGCAACAGTTATAACCTTTAAGTGCCCTATGCAGCACTGAAGTATCGATTATAATGACATAATTCTAACAACTCTTGTAAAAGACTTTCATGTGTGGTAAATCAAAATTAGATCATAAGAAGAAGGAATTAACACCATCATTTTCATATGGAAAAAAGGAAAACTCAGAATCGTTATATCACTTGTCTCAGATCAGTTAGCTAGTTAGTGATAAGACTGAAACCAAAAAATGCCTTCTTTGCTATCTCATTTCATGCTTTGAAAAGTCTGAGTCCATTTCCAAATAATAACATAAAACCCGAGTATAAATTATTAGTTATTGAAACATTTTAATAAATATTACTGGAAAAGAATTTCACTGTAAAATATATACCACTATTTTATCTACTCCTTGACAAATCTATGTATTTTTACAATTTTTATGATTAAAAGGAAATAGTTCTAGACTTTGCAATGTTTTTAGGGAACTTAGAAGCAAATACTGTTACTAAATCAAAGTACTGGGAGAAAATGGATTATTCTGACATTATTAGCAAAGTGGTTAAAAGGACTGTGTGTCGCATGGCCTGGGAACTACTAAGCAAGAAATAAAATTTAACTGACATCAAATGTCCATTAGTAAGTAAAAAGACATTATAGTAAGTATACTAAAGTTTTCTTAATAAAGAAGCTCACTGGGCCATTGATCTAGACTCAGAAATCACTTTCTTAGAGCTTGTAATACATACCTGTTACATCAGGAACATATTAGAAATATTAGCCTCCCATATTAACCAATGTAAGGAGGAATACTGACGTTTCAATTGCAATTTTTAAATGAAGAAAAAACAGAATAACTTTTCTCTGCTATGATTTAATTATCTGAAGACAGAGCCCAGATATTTACATATTTATATAATAAACATATAAATCTAATTATTAGCCCATTTTTACACATCCATACTCACCTTCCATGCTTATTTCTCTGTCATTTAGTGTACATAACAACAATGATTCAAGCTTTTCATGAAGGAAAATCCTTAGTAGGATGCTAGCCAGTAGTGTTCGGTCTTGTCCACATACATGTGATAAAGCATAGACTACATGAAGTTCTTTTTGCAGTATAAGCTAAAATGGCATTTTAAAAAAGATGGTTGAAAATTCAGAGCATTACATATTCTCGGTGAGACTAACAGGAAATAATTGTTTTTCATGTTATTTTTAAAGAAGTAGGTCCTGAATAAATTTATTTAAAATACCAGTATGTTTGATGCCTACATATTTCTTAATTCTTTTTTTGGTATTGGGGATTGAACCCAGGGGCTTTTTGCCACTGAGCTATATCCCCAAGCCCTTTTAATTTTTTATTTTGAGACTGGTTCTGAGTTGTTTAGGGGCTCACTGGATTGCTGAGACTGGACTTGAACTTGTGGTCCTCTGGCTTTAGCAGCCCAAGTCACTGGAATTACAGGCATGAGCCACCATGCCTGGCCATATTTCTAGTCTTGTAAGATCAAAATTATACTACATGATTTTTAAGCTCTGGTTATCAGTATGCCACTAAGCTTTGAAATTACTATATTTAACTTAATGGATCTTTTATTAAATGGTAAATGTTTCTATTAAGAATGTCATTAAAAATAATTAGACTGGCGAATAACACAGTACCTCTTTAAATTCACTGTACTCTTCTTCTGGCATGATTTTTTCCATAGAATATCGTGCTCGAACACGCAGAGATCCTGGTTCAATACCTTTTAGTGGTATGTGGGAGCTGAGCAGAAACCATTCGTCTGTGGCATGTCCTTTCTGTAACCTGCTTAACTGGCAGCGCATAAATACTTTGAAAGGAAAACAATGACTTCATTAAATTTCCAGTCTTCTCCACAGTGTTACATGCTTTTTATTAAAGGGGTTTTCTACCACAAATTCAGTACTTATTAGCTTACTTCATTTACTTAATGCCTACTGTATGCTAGGTTGTGATGGATGGGCATGGCATATAGAGATGATTAAGACAGGGTCTTGCAAGAAATCGATTATGGTATAGTGTGATAAGTGCTGTAATAGTGATTAATGCTTTTTAAAGAAATAGTATCTAATTCAGCCTAGGAAAATTAAAAATTCATTCCAAACAGGTAACTCTTGAGCTGATTTGTAATAGGATAAGTGAAAAAGTAGAGGGGAAAAAAGAGAGATTACAGTCCAAATAGGACGTATGGCTTTCCTTTTCTATGATTACTAAGCACATGAAAGTAAAGGGGAACCACTAAAAAAATGTTATGTTTAAATAGTATAGCAATTACAGAATAAACATTTTATAGAGATAAATTCAGGCTTTGATCTATCAGTTAATACATATCACTTCCTTCCCTAAGCTTGAGTTTTAAGATGGTATTAACCTAATTCACCCTGATGTGAATGCTAAATCCCACTGACATCTGTTCTAGCAATAGTCTGAGAAGAAGTGTGCTGCTGCTGAGAACAAGAACTAGGAGCATTTGGAGATTAGAGTGAACAAATAACATACTCTAGTTCAAAGAATCCTTTTTTAATAGAGTACATTTTTACTTAGATATGCTAAGTACAGGAAAGTAGGAAAAAGTAGAAAGGAAGAAGGGAGAGGGGAAGTCCCACGGAAAAATTACCACTGTTACCATTTATTCTTTATTTGCTGGAGAAAGACGTCTGTTTTAGTCTTAAGGGCTTAAGTTTACAATATGTACAATTTAGCTATTTTTTTCTTAGATACACCCTCTCAAATAATCTAAACTTTAGATTACAGTAAGAAACTATCTCGAATTACAGTACTTTCATTTGTTTTTAATTTCCATTTTAAGATATATCATTGTGATTCTAAAAATAAATAAAGGATGCTATTTGTACTTTAGAAAGTTTCTATATCAACTTACAGATATCAGGATCTTTGCTTTTCTTTGTTTTATTACTAAGCGTGATTTCAAATCTATTGATGTCAGGAGGAAGATCACTACAGAAGCAAGGAGAAAAAGAATTAACAATATGTTCTAACTACTTGATTTCTTCAGTATTAATGCTAAATAAATCCTCAATTTCTGTTAAAAACAAGTGTGCTACACTAAAAACTAGATTTGACAACATATTTTATTATTTGGTATACAGGAATGCCTATAAGCACACTTTTCTACCATTTTTAATGTCCTAAACTACCAATAATTCATTCAAATAGGTCATAGAAACCCTAGTAATCATTTTGTATGTTTTTGGACTTATCAATAATGCTAATTTATATTAATAATTAGGTGAAAAAGCCAAGGTCATAGCACTTTACTAATAAAGGTGAACAAATGCAACACAAAAGAGTTATATTAAAACATCTAGACTTGATTCCTTGTTCTGACAGTATAGATTACAGAGACTCCCCTCCAAAAAAGGAAAGAAAATGCAATATAGTTTTTTTTTTTTAAGTGATTTAATGTAATGATAAAATAAAACTTACTCAAAGACAAACTCCTCAGACCACACTGGGTTTTGCCCTTCCCTTGCATGAGTTTTTGCTACTTGGACGCTATTCAGGTAGATATTACAATATGGATTAGTAAAATGTTTTACTGGTAGTTTATGGGCTTCTTCAATATGTAAAACAAGGCTGCTGACCTGAAGAAAACACAAAAATGATTACCCCAGGTTGAAAGAATTATACATTAGGTTTCTAAAACAATTATTATGAAATAATAAAAAATAGTGACTTGTTTTTCTGCTTGTCTTCTTTCATGTGACATACTACAGAATGCAACATTTAAGCATTTAAAATAATCCTTCTCACTTAAAATTTATCTCAAATAAAAACACAAATTTTGTAAGTTATTTCTATTATTTTCTTGCAGAGTAATGAAATACACCTTTCTACCATATACAAAAAGTAGACACCTCTCACTACCCTGAATCAAAATCTTGAATGATGGATAATACTAACCTGAAATATTTTATCACTACAAAAGAGAATTCATTAGCTAAAAAATGTTTTTCAAACACTGTGTCTGCCTTGTGATTTTACAGAAAAGGATACAAATCCAAGGAAGCTTAGTTGCTTATCAGTGTTGGTCCAAAATTCAAGACCTTCTGCCTCCTAGTATCAAGTCATCTTTTTCTCTAATCATCTACATGTGTGAACTTGGACAAGTCAGTCTGTTTGAGCCTTGCCTTTCTCTCATGTATAAAATGTATAAAGACTGCACTGAAGGTCATAAGGACTAGAAACAGTATATATAGAGCACATAGCAGAGTATCTGACACAAAAAAGGCTCACAAATGTTAGCTATGATTATAGCTACAATTATAAGTTCCATACAACATACAATTTGCTGCTATTTGAAAAAATCCAATCTGATTTTCTATAACATTTAAAATTTTTATGTTTTAATGACATATGGTGATTATGTATATAATTAAATGTCCTTGCAAGAAGGGCCAGACTCTAGATTACAGGGTCTGGTTACTTAAATTGCCATTTATCCATTTCCAATAGAATAGTATATTACATTTGACAAGCGTTTTGGAAATTCTTTGGTCAATAAATATGTATTATATTAAGCCTTTCTAAAAATCCCAAGAATTTAACAATTTTTTCCCCCAATAATCTAGGGATTCCTATGAAGAAAAAAAATCTAAAAGCTGAAGAATATAAAGTTGCTCTTACATACATATAAAAAGAGAACTCCTAGCTTAACTTTCCAAAAATTGAAGTATGGGCCTTGTTATTAATGTTTCAGATTCCTTAAGAGTTATGAAGTAGGTTTCAAAACAATCACTATATAGTAAAAAGCCCAAAAGTCACTCAGGTTAGTACTCTATGTCAGATAACCCTTTCAATAATACTTTTAGTTCTACATTTTTGGGATAGGCCAAAATAATTTTTTGAAGGAAAAAAAATTCCCAACTGAATACATTACTTTTCTTGGTTTGAAGAACAGACTAAGAACCAGAGGTAGGTATACAGAAAGCACTGTCTTTCATAAAGAAATAACACATTGTTCTACTACTAAAGCAAATGGTAGTAAGGCTTTAAAATGCCTGAAAAGATTAACCTTTCTACAGAAATGTTGCAAAAACATAGAAACATAAAAAGATAAAAAGCAATAAATGAAATATAATGAAACTTGACAATTACAAATCAAATAAAGTTTCACCTGACGAAGACGTTTATTACATGTTCCTGGACTACTTTTCCGTAAATTGCAAAATGCCTGCAGACCTTTCATCCAATCCTACAAAAAATAACATACCATTTGAAAGACATACACATTAATTTGTTTGGTTTCCAACTGTCAATTTATTTTCTTCAAATTAAATTTTTTTCTTTAGATTTCCATTTCTAGTCTAAGACTATTCTATACTATATTTGTGCCCCAATGGAGTAAGGAAAAAAAAATATATATATATATATATATGTAAAAAATTGCTTGAATTTATGTAGAATCCCTACATTAATTTTAAGTATATCAATGAATGACCATTAATTAACCAAAAGTGTTTCTCCTCAACAAGTACTACCTTGGAAGAAATGTCTGTAGTTAAGCTTTTAACATTTTATGAGGAATGAAGGCCAATTTCAAAACCAACTGGTAATGTGATAACTGATATGAAAAGCATTCTAATTTTTACCTCAGACCACAATATAAAGGTAGAAACATGTAAGTGAGTTGGGTTATTTCCAGCCCTTTAGATATAACATGAGATTTTAGAAATCATTTTGGCCTGATATTTAAATTATAACTACATTTTAAAATGTTAAACATCTACTACTCTGGAAAAAAAAAGAACAATTTAGGTTTATTTAAAAATCTAAATATTTATTTTAGCTTAAAATTTCTGAAAGACTCTATACTGCTTTATTTTAATTTTTGTCTAGTTTGTTCGCTCTTTCAATGAATCTAAACAGTCTGTATTTAAAGAATATTAAAGGAGAGCAAATCCAATCCAAATCAATTATCACAACTTTCAGAAATAGAAAAGAATAACCAGACACCCTGCAACCCCAACAAATTGACAAATATTTTTCTTCTTCATGACTGAACTTTTATTTCAAGACTTGGGTTCAACCAGTGAAAAATCCCTCATTTGGACTTTTTATGGTACATGGAAAGTAGATTATGGAAAAAGCATATAAAAACATTTTAAGTGAGACTTGGAAAAAAAACTGAAATGTCATCAAGGTATGTGACACATCTTTATTCAGAAAGAAGGAAAATGACAAAATATCTAAAAGATAGGATACTGGCATTTAAATTTCTATCCCTAAATCAATTTCTATCATTAAAAAAAAAAAAAATCTAAGTTACCAAAATGTTTTGAGCCCTACTTTTCTCATCTTAAAATTGGGAATATATACCTACAAACAAACATGGCATTATTAGGAAAATAAGTATTTGAACTATTTTATAATGATTTGAAATATGACAAACTATAAACTAAGACTCATCATCCATTATATTTTTTCTGAGTCTGAATTTTCATAATTTTTGAGTCAGGGGCCCATACTAGGACCCACAGGATTGTTAAATTATTATTATTAGTTTGTTTTGTTATGTTTTATAGTACTAGGGATAGAACCCAGGGGTTCTATACACTAAGCCTTACATCCAGCCCTTTTGATTCTGAGAAAGGGTCTCAGTTGTTGAGACTGGCTTTGAACTTGCAATTCCTGTTTCAGTCTCCCAGGGTTTGAAGAGCATTTGCCTTATATACATGGTTAGCAAATCTGTTCTACTTCCAATCCAGTGAAGCCACGTTAGTTGCTTCTTAGCCATCTTTAAGTTCCTTCCATAAAGTAAAAGCAGAAATAAATCCATATTTGTACAAAATACAACTAAGCATGCCAGAAATATTAACATTTAAAGAAAATGTTTTTAAAAGGAGACTTTTGAAAACATTTCTTCAAAGACTTACTTAAAAATTTTATGTTACAATGATACTGCATATGGGTCAACGGCTAATGCAAAACTTAGACCAAGAGAATATGTAGAAAGAAAATCCCTAAAATATTTTTCCTCTTGATGATTGAACTTTTTGTTCATACAAGGGTTTAACCAATGTAAACAATAATAGTTAACAAAACTAACTGATTTAACTTTGGATTTCACTGAGACTATCTATAATCTTTAATGCAGAGATTTTATATAAACATTCAAAGACTTGACATAGTTTTTAAAGTTCAATTTTAAATTAAAAATAACCCTTCACTGCATTTGTTTTTGCATTTCTTTCAAAAAAAATTTTTACATGTGAAAGTTCTCTTAAAATAAAAAAGATTAGATTTTAGACATCCTTTTATTGCATCTTAAAGGTAAGAGTTTTCTATTCTAATTTAAAAGAAAACATGAGCTAACAGAAATATTTCCAGTAGTTAAAGAAATAGGATCTGTTTTAAAGTATTTTTTTAGATGTTGATGAATCTTTATTCATTTATTTATATGTGGTTCTGAGAATGGAGCCCAGTGCCTCACACATGCTACGCAAGTACTCTACTATCAAGTCACAACCCCAGCTCAAGAAACAGTATCTTACCTCTGCTTGTTCTGGTGTTTCTCCTGCAAAGTAAAAGATGTAATGTTCTTCACTGAAGTGCTGAACTACTATCTGAAAACAGTTTGGCCTTTAAAATACAAAAAAAAAGTATACTAAGAAACCTAAGTATTAAAATATTTACATCAACTTTTTAAAAAAAATCAATACATAATCTTATACATATTAAACTGTCCTAATTTAGAGAAACAATACCCCATAGTTACTAGAACATGACTAAAAAGAAAATGTCACCTGCATGTATTTTAGAAAATGTTGTTAATACTACTAAAATTTTATCAGTCTTTCCAAGTATAAAGTACTGTGTAAAGACAAACTTTTCCTGTGTGCTGAAAAAAGACACATAAGTTGGTTAGGGCCTTGCTAAATTGCTGAGGCTGGCTTTGAACTTGTGACTCTCTTGCCTCAGACTCCCAGGCTGCTGGGATTGCAGGTGTGCACCAACATGCCTGGCCAGAAGGAATTCTTGATCTAAAATATTTGAATGCTCCTATCATGAAGCCTCATCATCAGTCACAAACTTAAATAGAATTTTCATAGACTTTTGTTTCAAAACATTCACTCACTATACTTCATCCTTAATAAGTATTTCTCTGAACAGCCAATGATTTTCTTCTAAATATTTCTGTAATGTCTATAGAATTATCTGTCGTAGTGAAAATGTAGTCTCTAGATACATATGTACAACTTAATTTTCAATTCACAAAAATTGAAATTTTTTTACTGAAAATACTGAGTAGTATCTACTACTATTTGAAAGTGATGACCACAAACAGAATTGGCAGTTTCCATGAAGGCTGGTAAAACAAGTAATTCTCCAGCTCCGTGTGAAGCATTATTGCTTCAGCTTTAGCTATTAATTGCATGATCTCATAACAAGCTTCACAAGTTTAACATGATACCATAGGAATATATCTATGAGAAAAGAAGAGGGGTAGGGTGGGGGAAACAAACTGTTTTTCATTTGAAGTTTACATTTCAACTTTTGTCCTCCCACAAGAAATAGATATTTAGTGGCATTGTGCTATTATAATGCACTTGGCATCACTGACTTATTTAGAAATGAAAATACAAATAAAATTTCAGGTTGAGAAGAAAAAGATTTACTGGGTTTAGAAATCAAAGTTTAGAATATTTCTTATAAGTAGCCTAGTAAGTGGGTTAAATTACTTTTAAATAGGCTACTATTTTATCCTGTGAAACTAATGACTTTTTTAGTATTATCACCAAATTGTCTTTTATAGTGGTTTCAAAAGTATCTGTACATTAAAGCCAATTGTAGCTGGGCTTGGTGGTGCATGCCTGTAATCCCAGCGGCTCAAGAGGCTAAGGTAGGAGGATCTCAAGTTCAAAGCCAGCCTCAGCAATTCAGGGAAGCCCTAAGCAACTTAGTAAGACCCTGTCTCAATGTAAAAATAAAAAATGCTGGGGATGTGACTCAGAGGCTCAAGCACCTCTGATTCAATCTCTGGTACAAAAAGAAAGGGAAAAAAATTGTAAAAGTAACAATGAAAAAATATCTAAATTATATTCTTTTCAAGAACTCATAAATATTTTACAATAATGAAAAAATTAAATTGTATTAATAAACTAAATGTAAAAGCAAACTAATTTATGCATCAACATGAAAAGAAAATATCATTAATGACTGACCAAAACAGGCAAATTAAATAATATTTAGAACATCAGTGATTTAATGAGAAAGACAGAAATAATGAAGTATAGTCACTATAAAGAGTTTTCTGTCTGCAAATGCTATACACCAGTTCTTTTGCTCTAATAAAATAATGATTTAATAGATTATAGAGGGAGCCATATAATTTAAATTAAGTGTTAATTTGAAATGTAAAAATTTTTACTATTTTAATTATAATAACATTGTAAAATTACCAGTATCTCAAAAGGTACCTTAATGATCCATAGCACACTGGTTGAGAAGCTCTGCTTAACTATTCCAAAGAATTTATATCCATCTCAGCTCAAGAACCACCTACTTCCTATTATAGCTGGCCTTCCATATCCATGGGATCCAAACCCACAGATTCAACCAAACACAGATCCAAAATTACTTCTTCTAAACACGTCTGTACTAATTGTACTGAATAAGTACAGACTTTTCCTTCTCATTACTCCTTAAATGACAGTTTGACAACTATTTACATATCACTGACATTGTATTAGGAATTACAAGTAACCTAGAAATAATTTCAAATGCATAGTAGGATTTATGTAGGTTCTATGCAAATACAATACCTTTTTGTTTGGGGGTTTCATGAGATTTTTTGCAGTGCTGGTTATCAAACGCAGAATATCATGCATGCTAAGCCAAGTACTATACCAATAAGCAATATCCTGAGTCCTACTTTGCCATTTTATATAAGGGACTTGAGCATCTGTGGATTTTGGTGTTCACGGTGGTAGAACTAATCCCCCAGACTTAGAAGAGACAGACTACTTATCTCAGTACAGTTGCCTCCTAACATCTCATCCTTACTTAGCACTAATACAGTTATTGATAAACTGCACTAGTTGATATTGAATACTGTTGCTGGATCCCCAACATCTACTTTACCTACACATATATAGTAAATATAGCAGCCTTATTATTCATAGATCAATTCCACCAAAAAGCCTCATTCATCGGGGTAATCTCATTCATCTGCAATCCTAAGAATGGTTCTGAGGTGCCTGTATTCCCAATATTTTCAACAATTAAGGAAATGAATGTTTGCCTATACTGTAGGAAATTGGTTTTGAAGAAAATGCAACATAATAAGGAAAGGCAGAGCAAAACTAAAGAAAAGAAGACAACCAACCACATGTAAAGGCCAAGATTCCATATGATATTTTTTCTAATTGACACAAAAATTGTATATTTTTATGGAATACCATGTGACTGTCTCAATACATGTATTCACTGTGTAATATTAAAATTGGTATAAGCATACTGACTTTCTTTCTCCCTTTAATAGTCTTCTTCTGTGGGTAAGTGATGTTGTCTAGTAGCGTTTTTGTTTGTTTGTTTGTTTTTAGTTGTTGATGGACCTTTATTTTATTCATTTATTTATATGCGGTGTGAGAACTGAACCCAGTGCCTCACACATGTGAAGCAAGTGCTCTACCACTGAGCCACAACCCCAGCCTTTTTTTGGTTCTTAGTTTTCATGTGTCTATTATAGGTTTTTACTTGATTACTAGGAGGCTTACAATAAAATATCTTTTGATTATAACAAACTTTTTAATTGACAATCACCTAACTTTGTAAAGTTAGGAAAACAAATGCATAGATTAAAAATAGTAATAAAAAATCTACTCTTGCTCTTTATCCTCCTCAGATTTTGAATTTTTGATGTCCCATTTCACATCTTTTCATATTGTCTATCTCTGGACATACAAAGGTAGTTATTATTTATAATTGTTTTGGTTTTTAGTCTTGATTAAAGACATCACGATTTATGTGCCATTTTTACCATATTAGCATGTTCTGAATTTCTCAGTATAATTAATCCTACCAGTAAGTTTTATACCTTCTGATATTTTATTCTTATTCAGCATCTCTTTTCAGTTTGAAGAACTGAAAAGAGTATTTCCTATAGGACTAGTCTAGTGCTGATAAATTATTAGCTTTCATTTGGGAATGTCTATCTCTCATTTCAGAAGGACAGCTTTGCTGGGTACAATATTCTGGTTGGCAGTTTTTTATTTAAATCTCTCTTCCCATTCCACCTTGATTTCTGCTGACAAATTAATTTTCAGATAAATTGATACATCATTATGCAAAATTTATTCCTTTTCTCTTGCTTTCAGAATCCTCTCATTAGAGTTTGGTTAGAATGTCTTGGGATAAGAGTTAATGAATTTAAGATTGATGACCTCTGACCTTCCTTTTCCTTGTATTTGTGTACTTCTCTAAGTTTGTGAAGTTCTCTGTTATTCTCTCTTTGCAATCAAGTCCCTCTTGAACCTCAATAACCCAAATCCTTGTTCTTTTAATACTGTCCCATAGTTTCTTAAGCTTTCTTCATTTCTCTTTTTTTCTTCTCTGACTATATTTTTTAAATAGCTTTAGAGCTCACTGCTGCTTTCTTCTGTTTGATCATTTCTCCTATTGATGTCTTCTGTTGCATCTTCCATTTAATTTATTGTATTTTCAACTACAGGATATCAGTCTGATTCTTAAAAATGACTACAATCTGCCTATTAAACTTCTCTAAGTTTGAGTATGTACAGCTCAGGAATAGAAGGTGCTGGGTTTAATCCCCAGCACCACCATCCCCCCATCTCATCCCATCCCTGCAAAAAAAACTGGCAAATTACTAAACTGTTACTGTGCTTTCCTAAATTTCATTGAGTTTCTTAAAACAACTCTTTTGAATTTTGTGTCATAAAGTTAACATGCTAGTTGCTATGTGGTTGATTTCTGGCACATTTTTTCTCTACTAGATTAGGTCCTGGTTCCCTTTCAATGGATGCTTTTTAATATTTGACAGTATCTCACATTGAAGGATTAGAAATTTACTCCAGTCTTTACAATATGGTTTTAATTTGTGTCTGTCCTTCCAGAAAGTCTAGGTAAGCTGTTTACTATGTTTTCTGACCCTGCAGTCAATGCCACTATTTTCAACACTAGATGGTGCCCCAAGCCCAAGTTTGTTACAAATTCAAGTTAGTATATTGTTCAGCATGGAGGGAAGAAGATGTGTGGTAAAAAACTGAATACAGTCCTGTTGTCTAAAGCCCTCAGCTTGGGACCAGGGTGGGCCCCTGATGTCTTGTCCACAGTCACTATGGTCAGACACAATGGGTTCTGTCAGCCAGACTCCAAAGCAACAACTTACACTTCTTCCCCCATGTAATGACTCTCTCCATGTTGTGCTTCCTAAGGCTAGGGAAGGGATAGATAGGACAGTCTACAGCTCCTACAAAATGGGTCACATCCAGAGCCCATAGTCCACCAAGACCAGGGCAGCAAAAAGGCAAAACCAAATCCCATACTATGGCCTGCCTGCTATCATAGTCTATTCATAGTCTGAGACCACTGCAGGCAGCTAGAACTTACAATACTTCAATAAGTAATAAAAGTGATGAGCACCTCTACAAAGACTCTAGCACGAAGTATTCATAAAGCTTATGGTGAAAGGTAAAGCCATTAATCTTAAGCAAAAATCTAAATATAATTACAAGATGGATTTGTCTTGTAATGCTTGGTATTTAGCTTATAATTTCATATTTGATTTAAAATCAAAAACGTTGAAATCAATGTAAGAAAATTCAAATCTGAAATTTTTTTTGTACTGAAACAATTTAGCTTTTTTTTTTTTTTTAATCGAGTTCCTTGGGGAAATGCCTACAGATAAAAGCAGAATTGAGTATACCTAGCATAATCAGATGCACTGAGTTAAAAGAGAATGTGATAAAATTAGAGAATAGGTGAAAAGACCCAAATTAAGTCATTCAAAGGATTATTAAAAGAGGCAGAGAGAAAACAGGTTATAGACGGATCAAGTACTACTACAAATGTCAAAAGATTAATAAAATAATTTTTTAAAAAAGAATATTTTATTAACTATTTTTGATGATAATAAATTATTTTCTAATTATCTTTTGATGATTTCTATATTTAACATGGGTAAATAAACTTGATTTAATGCTTTAAAAAGAAAAGATTTCTGCCTAATATAGTGGAGTAGAATTTTAAATACAAGTTAGTCTAAAATAAACAAGGAAAACAAAATTACAAAGTAAATCTAAATTTTTTAGATGATTTTATGTTCTGAAAAGCATTTTTGTTATGCTTTAAAATGATGTGAATATACCTATTATTTTATTAAAATAATTACAAAAGCAAAATAGAGAACCAGTCTTACCTGCCAAAGAGACTATCATGAACAACATACACAGAACAAACACTGAGATCTATTAATCCTTTTGGTTTTGTAGCTCGTTTTTCACTTTCAAAATAAATAAGTTGGGCATCACTGCCCTCTAAGATAAAATATAAATTTTTCCAACGTTTTCCTTTGCCTGTTAAAAAATAATTGTTTTCCTTTAGCCAAGCATGAATTGTAAAATCACATAATAAAAAGCTGATGATTATTAAACACATTTCAATTTTTATTATAAAACTTAAATAATACACCAATCCTTTTTGGAGGGAGGGGGCCACAACACCTTTATTTTATCTATTTATTTTTAATGCACTGCTGATGATCAAACCCAGTGTCTCACACATACTAGGTAAGTGCTCTACCACTGAGCTAAAACTCCAGCCCCTACACCAATCCTTGAATGAGAAAATTTCTGAGACTTCTTTTTGTTTTTAAAATACTTTTTTAGTTGTAGATGAACACGGTACCTTTATTTATTTATTTTTATGTGGTGCTGAGGATAAACCCAGTGCCTCATGCATTCTAGGCAAGCACTCTACCACTGAGCCAAAACTCCAGCCCACTGTAACTTCTTTTTAAAAGTGCCTTCTGTTATACTGCTTATTTTAATGAATCAAAGAACAAATGACAAAGATATTTTAACTGTATCTTCAGAGATTTCACTGTGATAAAATGTTCAAAATTCTTATTTGGGCATAATACTTTATTCTAATCTTAAGGAAAGAATTCTTCCAATAAAACACAACTCAATTTCCTCAAATCATCCCAATGTCAAAAATAAAAACCCCAATACCATGAGTGTGCAAGCAGTTTCTCTCTGCTTACAAAAAAAAAAAAAAAGTCATGGAGACAGGGAGCAAAGAAACACTTGGAACTACCTGAGAATTTAAGAACATTCTTGGAAATACATAGGCTGTTTTCTAAATCCCTAGTTGGAAATATGGACAATATACATATACTTGGGCTTAAAGGATGTCAACTTACTAAATTACAATTAAGTTTTATGTCTGATATTTGCAATCTCTCTATCAAATGGATTAATAGTAAAATATTAAACTGGATCTTTATTCTAAAAGTTCACTTACCCTTTTTCAGAAGATAACCTTTCTTAACAATATTTTTATAAAAGGCATCCTTTGTTTTGCGACGTATTGTATTATAGATTTCCTTGCCATCCACTGTATCATTGAGTACTTGTTCTTGATCCTGAGTTTAAAAATATTTAAATTATTTCATGAATTCTTAATCTAAATAAGGAAAAAATATACCAAATCAACAATTAAAAACCAGAGAAAGGGTTTTAATACTAAAATCCAGATGTACCTAACAGATAAGATTCTTTATTTTCCAAAGATATTCTCAGAAAGATTTCCTTATTATTTCTCAAAAACATGGACAACTTTCCCAGAAATTTTCCATACCATTTCCTAAGAACATATCTCATGGAAGACAAAGAAGCCATTTCAAACACTATTTTCAATTTGTTATTTTATAGCAAATTATGTTTTATAAATATTAATTTGTCCTACATAACTGGTAAATTAGTAGCCAATCTGAAACATAAAGCAAATTATTGTTTGCTTATGTACAAGTAAAAAAAAAAAAAATTAAGTGAACATAGAAAACTGAACCCAGCTGAACTTTAAACACCTGAACAAAACACACCCCCCATCTCAAATACCTAACAGTTCGCATAGTTCACTACTGTGTGATATGTCTGTCTCACCCATCTATCTATCCACGCCTGGTGTTACACTTCAGATAATTCTCATTCTACCACTTCACAATTTTCTCATGTTTCAACACCCCACTTCCACACATAAACTTCAAGTTTTTATCAAGTGAAAGTGTCATATCTATTATAATATTTATATATTTCTTAATCATTTAGAATGTATAAAGTTATGCCACATTTTTATTAGGAACCCTGTCTTTTGATGTGTCACTGATGAAGTGAGAAGTGTTAGACTTCTAACTTCACTTTCCTTCCCCACAAGCCCTGTGGTTTTTATTGCTTGATTTTGCATATATTACATTATAGCATAGCTGATACATAGGAATGCATGTATCACATTATAGCACAGCTGATATTAATCACTAAAATGTCCAAATAACGCCAAGAATTAAGTTAGAATGTAAAGAAAAGAGTGCTTTCAATCAAGATCTTCCCAGAATAAATCAATCTTCAATTTTACTATTGATTGGGGTCCTGTTAACTCAATTTTAGTGTTTTGATTCCTTTTTCAACCAGTTCTTATATTTGCAAGAAATGGTATTTTATAAATTTTAGTCTTAAGAGACTTTGTGAGTCCATTCAATCCTTTTATAAATCTAAGATGCATTCTGGGATTTTCATAATCTTCTTTGTCCCACATTTTGAGACATTCTATTGTTTCATCATCCTTTATTTCATTATTACTCAACAGTTATTCCCAAGTATGCTAAAAAATATACTAAAATAGTAAGAAAATAGAAGCATGAATTACCTAGAGCAGAGGTGGCCAATTGTAGCATGCATGCTAAATCCAGCCCACCACCTGTTTTTGTACATAAAGTTTTACTGGAACACAGCTGTGCTCATTCTTTCACATATTATATGTGGTTGCTTTCAACTACAAATGCAGTTTAGCAGTTGTGACAGATTGAATGTCCACAAAACCTAAAATATTTACTATCTGGCCCTTCACAGAAATACTCTACCAACCTCTGGCTTAGGAAATGATGCAATACTAAAATAATCAGCTCTATTGCATCATTCTTTTATTTCTTTACTATGTTGCCAAATATTGCAGCATCTCTTGAAAAAAGATAAAAGGCCACCTTTGTTGTCTTTTTATTAGCTTTCATGGAAGAAAGTTAAAAATTCATAACTCTTAATTATCTGCACTGATAAAGAGAAAAAATTGACAGATTAAATGTTTACCATTTATCAAAATAACATGATGAATTTAAAGAAACAGGTCCACACTGGACTCTACTGTGATGGCAAATTGATTTTGATGATCAAAATCTTACGACTATGAGTCCTCACATGATAATATACTTAATCACTTTTCTGAAACTTAAAAAAACCAATGAGTGAGCCATATTATTTCTAAGGGGAAAAAGGAAATACAATGTTATCATCTAGTTAGCAATTTAATAGAAAAGACATTATCACACTATATTTTGGGATAACCCGGATTATCCTGTTTTGCTAAACAAAATGAGAAATGAAATTTTTGTGCGCAGATTTTTAACATAAATTTTAAGTAGAAAAATATGGAAGGCACTTTGCATAAAAAAAAAGGTTATTGAAGGAAAACAGCTGATGTAGAAATTTAATTTACTGGAATAGTCAATCTAATTTGGTATTTATAAACCTAAACACTACAATTATCTTACACTTATGGAACAAAGAAGACTATACTCTCCAACAAAATTATGAGCCTTTAATGTTTTCAAAAGTACTGCATTTGGCAAATCAAAACTACTCTTAAGATTTCATCTCACTCCAGTCAGAACAGCAACTATTAAGAATACAGACAACAATAAGTGTTGGCAAGGAATGTGGGGGAAAAGGCACACTCATACATTGCTGGTGGGACTGCAAAATGCTGCAGCCAATATGGAAAGCAGTATGGAGGCCCCTCAAAAAACTGGGAATGGAACCACCATTTGACCCAGCTGTCCCTCTCTTCTGTCTCTACCCAAAGGATTTAAAAATAGCATACTGCAGGGACACAGCCACATCAATGTTTATTGCAACACAGTTCACAAATAGCTAAACTATAGAACCAACCTAGATGCCCTTCAGTAGATGAATGGATAAAGAAAATGTGGTATATATACACAAAGGAATATTACTGAGCAATAAAAGAGAATAAAATCATGGCATTTGCAGGTAAATGGATGGAGTTGGAGAAAATAATGCTAAGTGAAGTTAGCTAATCCCAAAAACCAAATGCCAGATATTTTCTCTGATATAAGGAGGCTGATTCATAGTGGGGTTAGGAGGAGGAGCATGGGAAAATTAGATGAACTCTAGAAAGGCAAAGGACAGGGAGAAGAAGGAAGGGGGCAAGGGGTATAGAAACAATGGTGGAATGAGATGAAAATCATTACCCTAAGTATATATATGAAGACAAGAATGGTGTGAATATACTTTGTATACAACCAGAGACTTGAAAAATTGTGCTCTATATGTGTTATATAATTGTAATGCATTCTGCTGTCATATATAACAAATCAGAATTTTTAAAAAAATTTAAAAAGTATTACATTTGATGATACAAGTACAAGAAAGAACCATAAGCTAGGAGAACCCAGTAGCAATGTATTTAAAATCTGCTACCAGTATTGCATTTTTATGGTAAAAGTTCAAGAGTCATGGTAATTATAAGCAGGACTTACTAGAAATCTAGAATTACCAATAATAAAATGGGTATGTTTCAGGCTGGGACTATAGCTCAATGGCCGAGTGCTTGCCTACCACTGGATTTAAACCTTAACATCACATAAAAATAAACAAAATAAAGGCATTCTGTCCATCTACAAAAAAATTTTTTTTTAAAAAGTGAGATATGTTTCAAGTACACAGAAAGGAGCTAAAGAGCAATTAGCTGCATTCAAAAGACTTGTCTATTTCAGGAATGTAAACCTATAGAAACAAGGAAATACAGAACAAAAAAAAATTGCTAAACTTCAGTTTTTAATCACATTTTCTAAAAAAGTTGTTTTGGTCCATTTCAATTGCCAGTACTACCCGCTTTCTTTCCCTCCTCCCACCCCTTGGACCCCTTCCTCTACTCTACTGGTCTTCCTTCTATCAATTCATTTTTTAATTGGTATATTGTACTTTACATAGAATTGGAATTCATTGTGATATATTTGTACATGCACATAGCAATGAAGCAAATTATGCTAATGCATTTATGAATGTCAAAATGAACCCCCAATCATGTATAACTATAATGTACTAATTTTAAAAAAAACGTGTGGAGGTAGGAAACAAATTGTTTTGATATTATTTCTTTATTCTTACCTGTATAAATTATGTGTAAAGATACTTATGAATATAAAAATTTAAGAGGTTACAAAGAACAAAACGGTAAATCATGATGACCACTTCCTGGTAATACAAATTTATACTTATCAATCTTTATTTCAGTGGTGATAAGACTGTTTTAGCTGTAGAATAGGTCATATTTGTCATTAAGACATACTACATTAATATTTGTGTCTAAATACCTGATTTCAAGATAATCTGTTTATGTCTTAAAAATTAAATTAAGGTAAGTTGTGTTATTTTAACCCTACAAATGCTAAAACATTCTAATAAAATATAAGACACTATGGGGAAGAACACAACTTTGCTTTCCAAGCTCTAGAAAAACCAGTGGAAGATCGAAGGGAAGGTTTCTCTATGTGTTCCTTATCTCAGCCCACTCGCTACATAATTCTAGAGAGGCAGATCACATATCTGACATATATCTCCCAAAGCACAGAAGATAGTCTGATTAGTGAGAGTCTGACAGCCACTGAAACAAGTCTTTGCATAGAGATATGGCATGCTCCTGAAGCCAGACTTCAATAACAAATCTTGCCGTTGTCACTTAATGGCTAGGAAAACTCCATTTAATAATTCAATACAATAAATGTTTGTTGATTGTGCCTTTTCTAGTTTTTTTTTTTTTCTTTTTTTTTTTTTTGCTCATCTATTTGTTTGTTTTGTGGTACTGGGATTGAACCTGGGGTGCTTTACTACTGAGATATTTTCCAGTCCTTTTATCTTTTGAGACACGGACTCACTAAATTTCAAAGGCTGACAAATTTGCGATCCTCCTGCCTCAGCCAGGGAATTATAGGCATTTGCCACTGTGCTTAGCTCTGTTCTAGTTTTTGAGATACAACAGTAAACAAATCAAAAATGTCTATCTTCATGGAACTTATATTCTAACCAGGGAAAGATGATAAATGCTTTACAAGATAGAGTAAGCTGCAGTGACACATCTAGGTATCTAAATAACTCTCATTGTGAAGCTAATTTTTTAGCAAAAACTTGAAAGACAAGAGTTAAGCAATTGGATTTCTGAAAGAAAATAATTTTGGGCAGAGTGAAAAACTAGTGACAATATCCTAAGAAAGGAAAAAGTATGACATTTAAAAAGCAAATAGCACTTGAAGCAAGTATGTATGTAAAAGAGTGACAGACAAGGATAGTAGAAGGAGATGAGTGTAAGAGAACTAATGAAACACCACTGTAGAGCCCTGTATGCCACAGTAGGGACTTTGGCTTTAACTCTTAACTGAAATGTAGAATATCTGCAAGTGTTAAGCAGTGGAGTGACATGATCTAACTCACATTTTAAATGATCCCTCGGTCTTTTGTGTGGTATAAGGGGACAAAGGTAGACACAGTGGGATGAAGTCAGTTTCTGGTGTTGTTCACATTCTAGATATATTTTGAAGCACAGTTAGCAGGAAACTCCTGACAGGTCGGATACAAAGTACAGAAAAGAAAGAGAGGAGTCAAGATGACTTTAATGCCTTAAGTAATTAACTTAACCTCTTTGGTCTAAGTTTCTCTACTTGTAAAATAGTCACAGTGTAAACCTCAACAAATTGTGAAATAATTAAAAGAATTAACATGTATAAAAACCTGTGCTTAGAATATGGTGCTCAATAATGTTAGTTACTTTTATTGTGAAGTGTGTTATCTCAAAAGGCTCACTCTTTTTTTCTAGAGCCTGTCTCAAGAAGCATTAGTTCAGAACTCTGCTGTTTCCATTCCACCATCTTAGCTTGAGTCTGCGAATGCAGAGTTACATTAGGATAAGTGAGCTGATTTTACTAATCAGTTTGTTCATCAGCAAAAGAATATTACTGCCTTTATGTTCTCTAATAGTGAGAATCCTACTAAAAGTCTAAGTGAGTATTTAATTCCCCAACTTCTGTTGTAACCTATTTTTACTTCAGGACCAAAATAATACACTACAAATAGTATATAATAGTGCCCATATAGCAATCAAATTGCTTTATAATAAGCAATAAGTTATTTTTTAGGTATTCCATACTTATAGACATTCTGCAAAGGGCAGCAATTTGAAGCTTATTCAGTTATAAAACAAGAAAAATAAGAGTGAGGTACTTTATTTCAAGTAATTCTTAAAACAACCTTGCAACATTTATTAAAAGTGTTAGATGCCACATACTACTTATTTTTCTAACTATAAAATGTTAGAAAACTACAAGCAAAAATTTAGGATGGAAATTTTTATTATTTAATGTGTGGACAGATATAATTTATAGACTTATGAAAGAAATTTAAAATCACTAACTCAACCAGTCAATATGAATTAGAATTAAGAATATTGAAATGTAACAGATGTATGTTAGAATCTGTTACATTTCAATATTCTTAATTCTATTCATACAACTCTGTATGGTAGAATCTGTCATCTAAAGACAAAGGCACTTCTAACCCCTAATAAAAGGCCTTAGCAGTGTTTCTAGAAAGCATATACCATACTGTATGGTTTTTTTTTTTAAGTCTGTTTTACATAAAATTAGAGCAAGCAGCCAAGCTCAACCAGAACTACCAAAAAAAGTGGTGCATCTGTGTTGACTAGTTATTAGAAAGTTTTCAAGAAGGAAGTGAAACTTAAGATTGATTTTAAACTAGCAGCATTTAGATAGAGACTGACATGAAGATAGGAAGGAGTACAAATAGATTTAAAACACTTAGTTAAAAAATAATAATAAAAAAATTTAGTTACAGGTAGAAAAAAGTGGTTGCTTCATTCTAGAGAACATAGTCATTCATTCAACTAACACTTATGAATTATTTAATGGTGTCAAGTACTATTTGAGGAATAAGGAAAAACAATTCAAAGGGGGAAAAATCATTATCATGACCTTATATTCTACTAGAAAAACATGAGAAAATGAAGGAAAATGTATTAAAATGTGACAAGATTATGATGATTCTTGAATTTATGCTCAGCTTCAAAATAATGATTTCTCACTTAGTAACTACAACAAGTTGTAGATAACAACCATCTGAAATTAACTTGCTGGTAGTAGACAAAAACTGGAAAATCAGAGACATTCCAAATTAATGAACAATTTAGCTGTATACCCAAACCTCTTACATAATCCTTTTTAATCTCTGAGTTATCAATACCTCTTTTTTACACACTGGAAATTCTTAAATTACTCTGTAAAGCACTTTTTTCTAACCTTTTCCCTATCATATTTCTGAAAGTATGAGTTAAAAGTAGAGGTTAATCACCCTGTGAATTGAGCAACCAAGATTTAACAGGCTAATTTGAGGCTAATCACTCCTCTTTAGTTTTGGATTTTACTTGCTCATACCTTCTCTTGGGCCTTGTACAACAGGTACTGCCACTACATATCCGCACCCCCCACCATCACTATCACTTTCCTCTTTACCATAGTCTTAGTTTACGAAGAGTATACAGACACACTCAAACTCTCTGGCGATAATACTATAGTCAAAGAAATAAAAAACTGAAACCCCTCTGGGCACTAGTCCTCTTCTATCATTGTGTGTGTGCATGTGTGTTTCATTTCCTTTCCTACTGAGCTTACCTAGATATTTCTGGTTGTGATTCATCCATGCTACCTCCACTTTTGCCTCTAATAACTCACTCCTTAACCCCATGCTTCTTGGCTTCTGTCCCCATCACATTTCTATTCTCAAAAAGCCACCAAGGACTTCCTAATTATCTAGAATCAACAGATAAAAACTAAGAAATTCTCTTAGGATTCATTTTTTGAAAGAATCGCAGTAAACTAAATATTGTTTAGTTTTAATTGAATGAATGTTTGCATAACATATCACCAAAATGCATTTTAAAATACAATGCTAATTAATGAAAAAAGAAAAATAACACTGACCTGAATTGGAACCGGTTCCTTAAGATAATATCCTTCAACAATCTGTTCTTTTCTATAATGATCTATGATATCCCCAATGCTGTTAAAATAAAAATAACATAATTGGTTTCACAAAATATCTAAATCTTTTAAAATACAACTAAATCCTGTTACCAAGGGTCATCTATTCACAAGTTTCTTTCAAAGCATGTAACTTGGATATATTAATAGAATAAATGATCTTACATTATTTTAGAAAAAGAAGAATGTTTCTAACATAGGTTCACAGGTCAAAAGAAGTGAGCCAGAGATTCTAATTTCCTATTTACATCAAGTGAACAGTCAAGTCAACCATATACTCAGAGCCACCATCAGGAAATGATTAAACAACCATATTTTTTGTTTTATACCAGAGTACTTAAAACATATTAAGAACTGACAGGGGAAAACAATGGCATTTATTTAGGAAGTAGAGTTCAGATAAACTAACAATTTTTATCGTGGAAATATTTATATATTATGCTTTCCCATCAGATGCAGTGGTCATAAATGAATAGTAGGTGAAAGCAGAGGAGAAGAAAGGGAAAGGAAAAAATAAAAGTGAAGAGCTAATTTTACCTTTATGATTAGCACCAGACCAAGAAAGGCTTACTGATGATTCTGATAAAAAAGTATTATCAACTGTTCTAAATATTTGGGAAATATTACAAATAAAACAAAACTAAAAATAAAATGGTATAATGTATTTTAACACAAAATTTAGCTTGCCATAATGAGTTTTTTAATATATAAAAGTGCTTCTTGGGTTTGGGGATGTGGCTCAAGCGGTAGCGCGCTCATTTGGCGTGCGCGGGGCGCTGGGTTCGATCCTCAGTACCACATAAAAATAAAATAAAGATGTTGTGTCCACCGAAAACTAAAAAATAAATATTAAAAATCTCTCTCTCTAAACAAACAAACAAACAAATAAATAAATAAATAAAATATAAGTGCTTCTCTATTATCACTAGAACACTTTATTGCCCTGAATATTTAAATCCTTGAATTTTAAACCTTCCTTTAATATAATAGAGGAATGGGTATTTTTAAGGGAGCTAAGAAACATTTCTCCAAATAAGTCTGGCTTAACCTACCCCTTGATTTTTTTTCCATTATATTTCCTATTGATACATGGAATACATATGTATATGTCACAACTGGAATATATATGTATGTGTGTATATATGGCTCCAAATATCTTTCCTATACTACAAAATTAATTTAAACCAAATGTAAATAATATTCAAAAGCAAAACTTGAAAACTAATAAAAAATAATTATAAGTGAAGCTTAACTAAATATCAGAGGCAGTATTCAACACAAGGCAAAGGGGTGAGGTTAAAAATGAGACAGATAAAAAGGTATTATCATATATAGTACTGGGGATTAAACCCAGGGGCTTTTTGCCACTGGGCTACATTTCCAGTTCTTTTTGTTTTTCATTTTGAGACAGAGTTTCACTAAGTTGCTTAGGGCATCCATAAGTTGCTGAGGCTGGCCTCAAACTTGTGATTCTTCTGCCTCAGCCTCCTTAGTTGCTGGGATTACAGGCATATACCACTGCACTCAGCTGGTTATAAATTTTTAAAGGAAAAATGCAGTACCCCATAAATCCAAAAATATTTAAAAGAAAAAAAATCACCAAATATAACTGAAAATAGCTACATACTATCACAAAGACAATTGTGTTATATACAGTAAAAAACATCAAATCTATAAAAATTAGTAAATATCAAAGGTTTCTGGTCAGTAACTATCAAATGCAATCAATCTTATGTGCCACTCTGTTATAATATAATACTTTCCATGAGCTGAAGGAATATAGCTCGTGAACTCTGTAATAACGTATATAGTTCAGAATATACAGGAGCAATTTAAAAGTGTGTAGCAAATAATAACTTTTCACCAAAAAACTAGGCTTACAAGATTAAAAAAAAAAAAAAAAAGTACTCCACTTCATACCCAGATGCACCTTAAAAAAGAGACAGCAAAAAGTAAAATTTCTTAGACATTTCATAAGAGTTCTAGCTATGAAATCAGGCAGACTTACATCTCAGAGTGCTCAGTATAAACTTATTGGTGAAATAAATGTGAGTTTTTAAAGACATTATATCCTGTAATTTCAGTTAAGTACTTAATACATAAAACTATGTGCCACTCTTGTTGAAACCTAGATAAATGTTAAAAATCTTCAAGGTCTGATGAAAATCCTTTCTTTTCCCTCTTACCATTACCTGAACTACTCTATTCTGACTCTTGTGCATATTTGTACATCTTCTCAATTTATCAGTCTATATTCCTACCATCTTTCCTAAAAGACCTGAGCACTAATAATTCAGAAATGGTATCTTTTTCTTTAATGTGTATGTATAGGATCTATGCAGTGTATTTCACAACAGATTATCTAATAAGTGTTTACTAAATTAAATTTGCTAAATTCCTCCCCTATTTTCTAAACTTTTGAATATAGGAACATCAGAGTTAAGTCTCAATAATTTCTAAAAGAAACAGACATAACTGCTACTCTCTTAATTACAAGGTTAATGCACAAATAGTTAATGGGGAGACACTATAGCAGAGCATGGCTGTGTCAGACTTACTGAATAATCTTGAGTTTTACACATTTATATCTAAACAATGTTAACCATGAAGATGTATCTTCCTAGAAATTGTTTCTGACATTAATGCTGAAATGGAATATGTAATTCTAAGACAACTAGAAAAACTGCCATTTTCCCCTCATCAGAGTTCCAATTTGGGCCTTCCTTTAAAAAAAATTAAAACTAGAAACTATAAGACACCTGAATTTTATAGGAAATAAAAGTCAAGGATTTGGGGGAAGAGTCAGGCTCGAATTACCATGTATTTTTAAAAAGTCCTCATTTTGCAGCCAGACTAATAATTCTATAACAGTTGAGAAAGAAATATACTTCAAATTCTTTTCTTATTCCATTATGGTCTTTATCAACAAAGACTACCTTTATAGGTTTTACAGACTATCTTCAGTGAGTAATAAGAATTCCCATTGTTGCAGAACATATACATTTGTTAATAACTAAAATAACGTCTGTCAATAACCTATGGATATTTACCAATAACCAAACTTACAAAAAATAAAACTTATGAAATTATTTAATCTTAAGCAAATCTTAATTTGAACATTTATTCAGTTAAGAATATTTATTTTTAATTTTTAATTTTATATTGTTCCAAATCTCTAGAAAACTAGACAATGGGAAAAATTAATTTATAAAGAGCTCAAATTGCAGCCACCTGGATTTTCAGTGAGGATGTCTAGAACCCAGATTGCAATGTAGAACGTATTCAAACACAGCTTATATATAAGGTATGCAAAAGGGTCCAACTACCTTGAACTATCTTTCATTTGATGTTTTAGAACTGTCCACTGACCCTCTGGTAGGCAACCAGAAGAATCTGCCACTGGAATTTTTTGTTTTGTTTTCCAAATAAACCAGCTGCTAGATCTGCATCTACTTAAAGGTCAAGCTGAAAATAAGAAAAATTCTAATTGGGAAGGAGAAAGATAGAGTGGTATGAAGGTATTAATCACGTAAATGTCAGTTCTTTAAAATAAGACTACACCAGCCTCCAAAGGAGCAAAATGATGGTCTACTCTAGAGTATGAGAAAACATTTCATTCAATAATGAAGAGGTGACTTTTTCTTTTGCAGAAAAAAATACTGACATGCTATCATATGGTTTCCTCTATTATTTTACTTCCATAATCAAGCAACTAAAATTCATTCTGAGTTTCAGGACAAGAGTTTACTCTGAAGGAGAGAAGTCAGAACCAATCATGATATATAAAAACTACTGACTAGAGAACAGAGCAATTACATAGTAACATATGTATAAATCTCAGGTAACTCTTGAGGAACCTTTATTTTCTTTTTTGCTATTAAAATGGCTCATTGATAAAAGAATGTACTAGATTTTCTTTTCCTTAAATTAGATGTTTTACTCTTCATGCAGATAGTATATAGATTTAGCAAATTTGTTACAAAAAGCTTGTATATAATTTTTTTTTTTAAGTCACAAGTTATTTTGGAAGGAAATAAGTTATTATTTTAACACTGTGTAAAATATTCTTGGATATGACTACTACTAAATTATAGTAAAAAAGTCAGGAACTTAATTTTGAATCTAATTTGTTTTCAATATTGTAACTATTTTTGCCAAAAGTAAAAGATAACTAAACATTTCTCAAGATTTACCTGTTATAATATCGGCCTCCCATCATAAACTGATTGTTTGGTGTTGGACATATTTTGAATCGCTGAATATTTTCATTGGTCCGAAAATAAAGTGAATAATCACCAGGAGTATTATCTGAGGGCCTCACAAGAAAACTGCAGACTTGGCCAACTGTAAAAATTAAGCTGTTAGTTTTATTTCCTAATTATCAAATAAAAAAGAAAAGATGTTAAGTAGTATAATTATAAAGTACAAAGTCATAACCATATGCAAAATTTCAAATTTTCACCAGAAAATTAATTCTTTTATTCTTTCTTTCCTTCTTTCTTCCCCCTCCTCCACCTCCCCCTCTACCCCTCTTTCTTTCTTTCTTTCTTTCAGGATTCTTTCTTTTTTGGTCCTGGGGATTGATCCCAGGGTTGTTTTACCACTGAGTAATATTCCAGTCCTTTTTATTTTTTATTTTGAGACAGGGTCAGCTAAGATGCTGAAACTGGCCTCAAACCTGTGACCCTCATGCCTCACTCAATCTCTTGATTCACGGGGACTTACAGGTGTGCGCCACTGAGCCCAGCAGGAACTTGTTTTTTAAGACAATCTTTTTGTATTTCCTGATTTATGCTTCACAAACACCCATTGTGACTGGCTACTATATGCCAGATATTTGTTAAAAGCTTTATTTCATAAAAATGCAGAATAGAAATTCTGCAGCAGTAACTTCTGGTCAATAATGTCTGTAATTGGCATAACTTAGAAAGAACTACCTAGCCAGAAATGTGGGGATAGTGACTAAAACTGCTACACTGTTTGTAAATCCCCTTAATAAAAACATTCTAAAAAGAAAACCAATTTTGCATTTGAATAGTCTATACTTAATCGGTGTTTCCAATTAAAACAAAAGGCTATTTCATCAGTACCACACACAAAAAAATGGCTATAATAGAAGAATGGCAAAAAAAAAAAAAATAGATTCAAAAATAGATTCAAAACAACTGAAATGAGTAATTATCAAAAATCAATACTCATGTACTACATTTTATTTAATATAATCCTAAAAATACACATGGAAGCAAATTATCATACATCAAGTATCTTCAAGTCAATTTTAGACTTTTCACATCTTCAAGTGGCAATGACTCCTAATACTGAGATGCTTTTGCCTTTTGTCTGTTTCAGACCTAATAACATGAAAAAGATTAGGACTTATTTTTAAGAAAACATAAGGAACATTTAGAATATCAGATATAATTCTGTGTAAATTATTAATAGTTCTAATCTAACCATGATCAAGTAACTTCATGTTCAATACAAAGAAGTAAAAAGTAAACCTCCTTAAACTGAATCTTAAAGGGCTAAATACAAAGTAAACATAAAAGTTGCAAGAAACTGACTGGAATTTAATAAAGGCTAAAATGAAAGTACTTCTAATTGGATACAATAAATCTTGGTGACAAGAAACCAGGATACTCTGTTTCTTTAAGAATGTGAGATAGAAATTACAAAATTGTACATGCAAGTTCTAAGTCCAGTTTTCAAGGAAGAAAATTCCACCAGATTCTCAAAATAGCAGACTCAAAAAATACAAATTATTGTAAGATATTAAGTTTTCATATTAACATGTAAAACAAGAAGGGGTACCCCAAGTATTCAGTGATGAAAGTTCCAAATATAAACATAAATTCACTAAAATATGCCTTTTTGGTACCACCTTGAAAGTGGAGATAGCATGTCATTATGGTTTGGTGTTTGCTCTTAATTACTACCACATGGTATTATCATGTTCTTTAATTTATGTTTTGAACTTACTTAATATAGGTTAACTATATAAACCCCTCAAATATTGCCTCGAATCTTTCAAAAGATTAAGTATTAACTTAAAATGTAATACCTTATTGCATTTTAAAACAATTCGGATCACATCTTTAGTAACCTTTAATAATTAATCTTAATAATGTTTAATAATATCACCTTTAATCATCAGTAAGAGAATCTATTGTACCAAATACAGAAACTATCAAGCAAATCTTAAAGAACTAAAACTTCTAAATTATATATTATGGATTAAATCTGTCTTGTAATCTTTATAAGATATGGTTTACTGAAGAAGCATTTGGTAGTTAAATTAATTCAGCCTTTAATACTTAGTAAGAATAAAAATGATAGTATAGTTTTTATTTTAAATAATAAACCGACAATACAAAGTCAGTCTTTGTGTTTTCTTACATCCACAGAGTTTTGAGATATGTTAAAATTAATGTATTTTAAGTAAGACTCAATTATATAATTCCATGAAAGTATAAGAATAAATACAAGAATGTTTGCTGTAGATGAATGAAAAAAAGAATGCCAACATACCACTCCTCTATTGGGGCCCGGCAAATTATGGTATTCATAGAATAGAAAACTTACAACTATTAAAAATAATAAAAATTTATATCTGTAGATTTTGAATGCTCTCCCAATATATACACAAATATGGAAAAAAGTATTTTACTTGTTCTTATAAGTGTGTGTATGCATAAGGGTAAGAAAGGGAGATACATATAAACACAGAACACTTCTAAAAACAGAAAACAACAATTATCAACATGTGTCACATCAGGGGAAGGGTAAAGAGACAGGCTAGGGTAAAAGAATAACACACTTTATGGAATTAGACACCACATGTGTGTTTCAACTAGAAACAAATAAACAAAATACAAGCTTCTCAGCACTGGGCAAGAAATTATAATATGCATAAACATTAATTTAGAATGCTAAAGGCATATACAATGCATGAAAATTGGTTGGTTCACTTTTTTATTCTTTTAAAATACAGACTTTAAAAAGGCAAGTGAATATAAAAGTACCTGTCATTAGTAAATTATAAGCTTCTTGTTTGGAAATCTTCCCATGGAACCATCTTAAAAAGAGAACAAATTAAATATATGAATCAAAAGTCCTTTTGGTTGCTATCAGTTGTTCAAAACTAAATCAACATAATCACAATTCAAACAGAAATGTGAAATAAATGCAACACAATTGATCAAATTATTTCAGTTCTAATACATTGTTACATTTTGTAAACATATTATGCTTAATTTCAACAAAATATGGAAAAACTAGGAACTACCAAGTACAAACTACAATTTCCATATTAATTACCAATAATAAAAATAGCAATGATTTTAATCTTCATAATGTCTGTTAATTGCTTACATCATAGTTAGCTCTTTTTTCTTTTGGGGGGCAGAGGGGAAAAAAGGGATAGTACAGGTAGAGCCCACCCTAGAACTGCTCCAGAAAAAATACTTAATGAATTAATTTTTCTTATATTTCTCTCATAATAAATTTACCTATAATTTAATAATCTCTCTCTTCCAATAAAATGAAAATGTTGATGCATACTTTAGTGAAAGCCAGTAAATAAGATTGGATGATGATAACAAGTGAATACCAACATTAAGTACTAAAAGAAAAGGACACAGTGTTCCTAATTTTATGTGAGTTAATAGCTTATCAAACTAGATTGGTAAAGTATTTTATATTTTATATTCCAAAATTAAGCCTCTAGAAATTATTATAAATGGCATTATGAATATTGAATAGCATAAATACAATGACTAAAGCACTCCAAACTGCCTTAAAAGGTAGAGAAGTTCCATATTGCTTTCACGTATAAGTTAAATGACCATTTGCTACAAATGTTACAGCATGACTTCCCTATTCTAAGGGAATTTCAACTAGATGACCTCCAAGGTCAGTCCTATATTTGTATAGCTAGTAAAAGAAGAAAATTCAAAGAGGATGAAAAAGCAATACATAGGATTTAGAGATGAACAAAATATCCTAAAGCCCAAATGACAGTATCTTTTTCTGAAGTTATTCCTATATAAAATTTATATAATTCAAACACATACATGGTTTACACAAATGATAAAGATAAGTACTTGCTCTTAAGAGATCCCCATTCTACTTAGAAAAAAAAAAGACAAAAATAAAACAATATTCAAAATATATCAAGTGCAGTGATTGGTATGTTCTGAGGGTAGTTTGGGAACAAAAGAGAAAGGCACCAATTCTTAACTGTGTGTAAGAGTTAACAATGAAGGAAGAGTCACTGAATACCAAATCATTCAGTAAAGACATATATCAATAAATGCATAATGAATGAAGAAAAATCCTGGCCTACAAAGCAGATAAAGCAAAGGCATAAAGGAGAAAAACAGGATTATGCATTTGAAGACCTACAAACTACAGAGTATAAAACTAGAAATGACAAGTGATAACACTAGTAAAAGACACAGTAGATAGATCACAGATGGTCTTTGTAGGCTCTGCCAAGGTAAATATGGTGAAAAATTGGTTAATTTCAGGTGAGAAAGTGATACCATCAGATCATGTATTTTTAGGTAAAACATTCTGGCTATTGGAAGAGAGAATCCGAGCAATCTAAAAGACTCAGGAGACAAACTTGAGGGTTACTGCAGTATCAGGTACTAATAAGAGAAGAAAGGGCCTGTTGAATATAATTACTTAATATTAAGAAGAAGACACACATTTAAGAAATATTTTAGGAGGTAAAATCATCAGAACTTGGTATCTACATCATGGAATCAGGGAGCTGTAAAGAAACTCAGCCAAAGTTATGCCATCTATTTAATCTCAAAGGGGACTCAGTGTTACAAATGATATTTAAAGGATTTAAGATACTTTACTGCCAGTCTTCGTCCTAAGAAATTACAGGATGTGAATACACATAAAATAAATCAACACTACAAATTTAGCATGTGCTAAATACCCAGTAAGTAAGAAATTATGAAATCTTTAAAAATGAGAGACTAGTTTAAAAAAGACTACCCACTTAATAAAGAATCACACTTGGACACCATGGAAAATTGGATGTGGCTTCAAATATTTATAGCATTTGACCTATATTTTTAAAACTAAATCTACACTATTTTTAAAGTACAGATAAAAATGTATGTTTATAGTTCCTCTTAAAAATCAGGAGGATTTCATTCTAGACTCATACTCTTGAACACATCAATTCGACAGGTCACCTTACAATAGGCAACAACTTTCTAGTTTTCAATCTCCCACAATCTTAATACCAAGAGTAAAGGTCAGCTGCCATTTATCATCACTCTTAAACTGTTGTTTTTTGACAAGAGGGGAACAGTTTCTATGTACCTTGATCTGTATCAAAGAGGGAAAATAATAAAAATCATGATTATTGTGTATGGAGACAAATGGTGTGTGTGTGTGTGTGTATGTGTGTGTGTGTGTGTGTGTCTCCCAAACTTCATTTGCTTACATTATTTAACTCCTCTCCAAGCATTAAAATTTATAACTTCTAATAATAGGTAGGGAGGAGACTTCAAACTAACATATTCAACTAGTCTCAGTAATGCAGTTCCTTTTGTAGCTATAAAGAACAATAGGAAAAATGAACACAGAAAATATTTCATATATTCTACTTAAGGAAGAGCAGGAAACTAAGTAAGGTAACAGAACATATTCAGTTTAGTGTATTAAACAATGGTTAGAGAATAGAAAAAGCAAATAGTTGAGGCAAGCTTTAAATTCTATCCATAAATGCAAACAGGATGGTTAAGAAGGGAAAAAATCTTCTAAAAAGGTATTAGAAGATTAGCAGTATATTAAAATAATACAAACAAGACAGAATTGTGATTAATAGTTAAAATCTTATAAAGAAAACTCATATACATAAAATCAGTCTAAAACAGTTATGAAAAGAAAATCCTTTCTTAATCTTACTAAAATTATGTAGAACTCTGATCTCAGGGTAAAGTTCTTTGGCAAAAAGAAAAAGAACTTGAACCAAAAAAAAATAATAAAAGGTGTGGCCACAAAAACAAGAAATAGTATGAGTAATCAGTAAGAAAATTAAGAGGAATTATGACATTCACTAATGTTATTAATGTAATGTTTACCAGAAAGTCATTAGTTTCATGATATAAGAATAATACATAGGTAACTGGCCACCATTTATTTAAAAATAAGACTTTAACACTAGGTCCTTAGGAAAAGTGTTTATAAATTAGTTCTCTGAGCAAAAAAAAGAAAGTATAAGTCATTCTTTTGACTTTTAAATATTTGGCTATTAAAATTTTTTTTGGCAATTTTCCAATTAGTAGCTTTACAATATATTTTTTTCTTTTAATAATTAACAAAAACTCACATTTTGCCTTCATGTGGATCTTCTTCCCGGCCCTAAAGGGAAGACATTAAAACAGTATTTTATATAATTAACTATTAATCTACTTTTTAAAAAATTCATAAAAATCATATCTTCAAACACATCTCCACAATGCTCTTCATATTTATGTGTATATGAGAAAAGGCTTATCAAGAATTCTCTCCACAGAACTCTCTAGCGTACACTTCTCATCATGTTGCCATTTGTCTAATTCCTCTTTTTCCCCTTTATCAAACTACTTCTATAGCTCAACTACACAGTACAATTACCTCCATATCCCACAGCACCACTCTAATCTGAATCAGTTTCAACAGTAGCTTTGTTCTGCATTAAGACAACAAAACCAAATAAAAACAAATTTTTAAAAGCAAACATTTAATGCCTTTTTCCAGTCTACAAACACCTCATTCTGTACCACAAACCTCACTCAAGTACAATTCTCCTGTCTCATACTACCAATTCTCTAGGTATCTTTACCACTATCACGCCTAAACTATCCATTTGTTAACCTACATTTTCTCACCACTGAGGCTTTTTGTTGTTATTGTCATTGTTGTTCTTAGAATGTCTTTTCCACTCACCACCTGCCTCTTAGATAAAACCTAAACCATCCATGCAGGGTTTATCTCAAATGCTACCTCCTTGAAGAAACATTCTGAGACCCTAAAACAGTGAATATCAATTTTTGCTTTGAATTCAAAAGACATTCTCCTTTTACCATCTTTTGAAACTTATTTTATTCTATATGTCAATTTTCTAAAACACACCTACTGTTATTCATTCCATAATAAAGGCTATAAGCACCTCAAGTCCTAAATTTCTATGTTCTCACCATCATTACCACCACTACCACCATAAGCACCAGCACAAGGCCAGTACACAGTTTTCACTGCAAATCTATTAAACTATAGTCTTAGTACCTAAAGTACCTGGCACTGAGTTGCCTATGAATAAATAATAAAGGAAAAAATAGAAAAATGGTCTAACTATACATGGATTTGTGTCTTTCAATTGATTCTCACTCATTAAATATCTAAATAGAATAAAATCACTTAATGAATGCTAGCTATATGTAAAGCAGTACGCTAAAAAAAACTGTATGAATGAACAGCATCATCACTGACCTCTTTTAGAAGAGGTTTACACAATAAATTAATTAAATACAGGTTAACAGAATACAGAACTAACACAGTGCTATGGAAACACAGGAGGAAACAATTTAATCTCAAAGAATCTAGGAAGTCATAAAATCTCTATGAAAGAAGGAGGGACATCTGAACTTAGCTGATGAAGACGAATCTTACAAGGCAATCTATAATGGCAGAATGTCAAGGAAGAGGGAAATACATAAGCATAGGAACATTCATTACTCAACAAAGATTTACTCAATGGCTACTAATGCCAGATACTAATCTAGGCAATAGGGATGTATCAGCAAATGAGAACAAAATTCCACATACATTCTAGAATTAAGACATAATAGTATAAATATGCTTAAAGAACAGTAATTAGAATTCTAGAAAGGGAAATTTCTTCAATCTAGCTACTAAACAAATGCCTGAAACATCTTTGTTGTCTAGACAATGTACAAATAGCTTTCTAATCTACAAGGAATTCACTAACTTCTAGTAAAGCCCATTGTGAAAATTACTCTAAATATTTGAGTAAAAATTGTTCAGAAGTTTAACCTGGAATTATTCCACTCTTAATTCAAAAGATGACTATATTCATTTTTAAGAGCCACATCACACTATTTACTCACAATGAATTGTTTTTCTTTTTCATTCCTTATATTTATGTAAGGAATGTATTTATGGACCCTTTATCTCAGACGAGGCTATTTATTATTTTTCTGCAAAAATAGATAACTTTCACTTATCGTTATTAAAGTTTATCTTGCTAAATTTGATCCAGAATTTTAAAAGTTCAGGAAAAGTTCAACTATACTTTAATTCCTTTAAATAATCAGAATAGGGAAGAGGTGGTAACAGGGAAAAGGAATCGTAATGTAAAAATTCAAAGAAATTGTATAAGAAAACCAGCACAGACAGAAAAATGCTTCAGTTTCAACATTTCTCACCTATGCAGAATGAATAACTACTGTAGAATATAGAATACTATTCTTGGGGTTCCAACTCTTTCACTAAGTAACAAGTGTGTAATATATCATACCATTTCAATTCCTTCCACCTTTCCTCAGTATATTTTACTTCTGTGAACTAAGACATATTTGCTAGAATAGGCAGAAAAATAGTAGCAAAGTATATTTTACTGACATTTTCCTGAAGCAATAATCAAAAGCATAGGTTTCAGTACATTATCAGGCCTGTGGCATAATTTAAAAACAGGAGCTCTGAGGGTTATCAAAGATTACAGAAAGCCATCCCATCTCTCTAGACAAATATGAAAGGTAAGAATAAATTTCAAAACTACAACATAATGTTTAAAGTATTTCAGTGGTATTAAATACAGTCTCTGAAGTACAAATACAGCTGAATCCTATCTTAAAATGGACATATAGGATAATTTTTACTGTATGCTAACATGACTAACAAAATATTATGACAATAAAACAAGGGGAATATTCAAAATATAAAATCAGGAGATAATAAATGTGTAAAGAGAATTTCTCCAAGGTTAAATTGTACATATATTTGGAAAATAGAACAATATGAAACTAAATATGTGTAACCATTAGGGATTCCATTAATTAGTTTAGACAATTTCATTTATAAGGAAGCCTAGGAGGGCAAAAGATGGATCAAAATAAGCACAAATGTTAACATTTTTAATTCATAAAATCATGAAAGCTTTCTGAAAACCAGCAGCTACATATTACGATATTTTAGCTTGTTTTTTTAAAACAAGTAGTGTTTACTAAGAGTAAATACATTTTAATGAAAAACTCCATATATATATATATATATATATATATATATATATATATATATATACATATATATTTAAAAAAAATCTTTCAAAAAAGAACTTTATCCTTAGGTAATTACCAAGTTTTAATGAAATATTTGGAATGTGGAGTTCAGAATTAAAAAAAAAAAAAAAAAAACTTACCACCTCTTCTACTAGATCTTCAACAATAAGGCCTTGTTCATCCGTTCTTAGATTTGTAACCCACATCCATCCATCTTCTAATTCATTATGAACAATGAACATATCTCCTTTTAAGAAACTAAAATGCCAATTGTAAATTTATTAAAGTTAAAAATTTTAAACATACACATTTAAATATTTATATACCACAACACAGAAACAGTATGATATTAGAAAAATGTAAAGGATTTGAGTCAAATATCCTGGATTTTTGTTCTGCTTCTGTCATCTATAACCTGAAGACTCTTAATAATCTGAATCTTAATTTCCTCATGTATAAAATGGGTTTAATAATATTACCTACACTATCACTGGGTTATTATGAAATTCAAATTAAAATCACTATTTGTAAACAGTCACTGATTACATATTCTGCATGTTTTGGGGTGTAATTCCAAGAAAATCAAATTTAAAAAATTTAGGTTTCAATGTTATTATGCTTTCAGAAGTAGATTAGATATACAAGTAAACACAAAATAAATATAATCAATACATAATACATATATGAGAAGTAGTTACTTCAGAAAAATATTAGATAAACTAGCTTTTATTATGTAGATGCTCGTATCAATTAATACTTCTCTAGACAAAACATTAGGGCCAAATAAATTATTCCTTTACAGAACCACCTAAATAAGCACATTAAAGAAAATTCTGATGAATTGTGTACAAATATGTAACAACAAATCCCATCACTATGTACAACTATAGTGCACCAATAAAAAATGTGAGGGAAAAAACAAAGAAGAGACATATTACAATGAAGTCTACAACTATAATTCTCCATAAAAGTGTTTTTAAAAACATAAAAATTGAAAGAAAAAAATAAACGAAAATTCTGGGTTTAAATGAACATTAAACATTTGACAAAACTTTAAAAAAAAAATGCTGGGAATGTAGTACAATGATATATTACTCATGTTTGAGGCCTTGGCTTCAATCCCCAGCATCACAACAAACAAACAAACAAACAAACAAACAAAAACTAGGTGTGGTAGCACTTCACTGTAATCTGAGCTATCTAGGAGGCTGAGACAGAGGATCACCAAGTTCAAGGCCAGCATGACCCTGTCTAGGTAAAAAGAGTTGGGGATGTAGCTAATTGTTAGAACTTTCCTGGGTTCATTTTTCAGTATCAAAAAAAAAGAAAAGAAAAAACAATTGGAAAAGAAAATCAAAAGGGCATATGGACAATAACCAAAATATGGCAAATTTCATTTCTTGGTTTAAAGCAGTCATAAGAGTATTTTTTGTTTTTTAAGTTTCAGTTGTTATTGCTGCTATGTAAACTTTTTATGGAATTAAAAAAAAAAATTCAAGCAAAAGCTTACTTGTACAAACCTAAAATTCATTCTATATTATTTTGCTTTGGCTCCCCTCCAAAAATAAGTTAAAGTATTTCATTAAATCTCATTTTCAGATATTTTTATTTCAAAAATAAATTCAAAGGTATGCATAAAGCTAAAAATTATACTTATGACTTCATAAAAATTTATATCATCAAATTAAAATGTATACATTCCCTCTCTAATTAAATTCCTATTTCCCTAGAGCAGTAGTTCCTTTTTTTGTTAGTCATCTCCAGGACCCTGTTACACTCCTAGATGACATTTATGTATATTAATTATATTTTTATTATAACTGTATCATTATTAATATCTATTGATATTTACCATATTAAATTTTTTTAATGATTTTTTTTAAAGACAGAGAGAGAGAGAGAGAGAGAGAGAGAGAGAATTTTTAATATTTATTTTTTTTTTTTTTTTAGTTTTTGGCGGACACAATATCTTTGTTTGTATGTGGTGCTGAGAATCGAACCCGGGGCGCACGCATGCCAGGCGAGCGCACTACTGCTTGAGCCACATCCCCAGCCCCTACCATATTAAAATTTAAAACATAGATCTTTTTAAGTATTTATCAATTTTTTTTTTTTTTTGGGGGGGGGATACAGGGGAATTGAACCCAGGGGCATTTTACCACTGAACTATATCCCCAGTCATTTTTATTTTTGTTTTGAGATAGGGTCTCCTTAAATTGCTTATAGCCTCACCAAGCTACTACGACTTGACTTGAACCAGGCGATCCTCTTGCCTCAGCCTCCCAAGTCACTGGGATTTCAGGTATGTGCCACATATGCCCAGCTTACTAATTCCTTTAATGAAATTAACATATTCCATTACATTAAAAAATTAAAAATTTTTAACTTTTGAGGGTTTGGTGGGAACTCATGTTTGACATTTTTGCAAATCTCTTAATGTCTGATCTAACTGAAAACTGATAGATACTCAAATCTGTTTCTGTAATCTATTGCTATATGATTTTTTGCTTGAGGTATATGAAGAAAATATAACTTCATACAAATATGTAGCTATGAACTGTTAGTTTCAATAGCCTTTTCTGATAATTATAGATATTCTATGATACTATACCCAAAACTCAAGAATCGGTACCTTCTTGAGGATAAGCTGCATAATATGGAAACTACAACTATGTGTCAAGAAACTTTCTATATGCCTTCTGGTAACATCCACTGTTCTACTTTGTACTTTGTTTGGATCTTTTACCTATGCATAATTTTCTAACATCAGACATTGATCACAGCCTGGCATGACGGACACCCTTGTAATTCTAGCAATTCAGGAAGCTGAGGAAGAAGGATCACAAATTCAAGGCCAGCCTCAACAAGTTAATCAGACCCTGCCTCAAAATTAAAACAAAAGGGCTTAGTAGTTGAGTCCCTCTGGATTCAATTCCTGGTACCAAAAAACTTAAAACAAAATATTAATTTTATGTATCAAATCCTTTGGGCCACAGGAAACCCAGATTAAAAATTATTTCTGAATTTGTCTGTGAGGGCATCTGAATAAAATTAGTATTTGAATTAGTGGACTACCCTCCTCAAAGTGGGTGGGCATCATAATCCTTTTAAGTGTCTGAATAGGAAGGGGGAAAAAAACAACACCATGAAAGAAAAAGGAATTTGCCTTTTTTTTTCTGCATCACTGGTTAATTTGGGACATTTCCTGTCATCTTCTCCTTCCCTAGACTGAGATTTCCACTGACTCCAGGTTCTCAGGCCTTTGGACATGGAATAAATTATCCCACTGTCTTCCCCAGCTCTCTAGCTTGCATATGGCAGATCACAGAACTTCCATAATTGTATGAGCCAATTCATCAAATAAATCTTTTCTGGAGAACTGCAGCTAAATACATGGACCTGAATGGGTATCAAGGATCCTCTGAGTTATGCAGAATATATTTTGAGAACCTGCTACATAATCCCACTGGAAACTGACAAATTTTCTAAAACTCCTTAGTTTGTACTTCAGCTCAGTTCTCCTTTATTAAATGCATTGGTTCCTTTCTCTCCCTTTTTTTTTTTTTTTAAACTGGCCTTTCAGACAAAGATCACAAATAAACACGTCAATAGTAATTTAAAAAGAAGCCATTATTTTGAAGATAATCACACAAAAATGGAATTCCTACTTTGAGACTGAGATTCTTGAATCTCATTTTTTAATACTGTCTTTCCAGAAATTTTTAGTACCACAAAGTTTTCACTACATTTTAAATGCTGCTATTGATTTCTATTTTTTTTAATTTGTAACATATTTTCTTTACTTAAATTTAGAACTTCACTTTTTATTATACAAAATAATATTTGAGAATTATGTAGCTCAAAAAAATAAACAAAGACATTGCATATAAAAATTAAATTATTTTGGCTTATTTGGGTAGTCTAAAGTAAAAACGCATACTTTAGATGTGTTACAAATAATGATATTGTGTTAGTCATCTTTGCATCGTTGTAACCAAAATACCTGATAAAAACAACTTAGAGAAGGAAAAAATTCATTTTGGCTCTTGGTTTCAAAGGTTTCCTCCATAGCCAAACAAGTCCATTTCTCTGGGCCTAAGGTGAGAACATGGTGGAAGGATGTAGCAGAGGGAAGTTACTTTCCTCATGACAGCCAGGATGCAGAAGAAGAAAAGAGGCCACAGGAAAGATGAATCCTTTTGGGGCATACTGGCAGTGAGGTGTCAGTAGTGTGGATTATCTGCTAAGGAAAATTACTGGCTATAGAGTGGCCCAGGCTAAAAGTCAGCCCATGGGCACTGCATTGCAACCAGAGACGTCAAAGTAGTAGGGCTATCCAAGGCTATTTCAGAGATCTTGCCACCACATGTCCTAGAGTTACAGGACATGTTTGCCCAGTTGTATTTTGGTCCAATCCCTTCTTTCTATGCCCCTACTCCTTCCTTTTGGACTAGGAATGTTTATGCTATATCATTATATATTGGATATATGTAAGTTGCTTTTGATACTTACACCAAAAGTTTGCTGTGAGTCTCAAAGGAGACTTTGGACTTGGACTTTGTGGGCAAACTTGGGACTGTTCAGACCTTGAGATTCTTGAAGAAGAATTAAATGCATTTTGCATTGTGAGGTAGATGTGAACTTTTAGGGGGACAGGAGTGGAGTATTATGAATTGGATATGAGGTGTCCCTCAAAATCTGTGTTAATACAGAAATGTTTAGAAGTGAAATGATTGAATTGTGAAATCTGTAACCTAAGCAGTCCATCCTAGTCCATCCTAGCTGCTATTGATTTCAAAGAGAAACTACTCAGAATCAATAATAATTCAGAAATAGTCTTAACAACTTATAGGTAAAAAACAAAGTTTCTACTGAAGAGTTAAACAGCTTATAAAATGACAATGATAATTTGGTTATTAAATTATAGAATGAACTAAATTATATAGAAATAATAAAAATAGAAAACTATCATGCTCTATAGTTCTATAACATTCTTAACATTTAAAATTATTCATTCATTACATAATATAGAAGCTTAATTATCATTATAATTTCATTTGTAGCTGAGGCATAAATGTCATGGGGTAATAAAAATTAAAACAGAGTATGTATTATAAGAGAACTCTCCTTACTCTGTCAGAGATAGGGTGTAATAAAAGCTGTTCTTTCTCCTGTCATTTTCACTGTGGCTAGCCAGATTCAAATTCTCAGTCTGACAAGCCAAACCAGTAGTATGAAACTACTAACCCCCAAATAAAGGCAGTTTTACCTTTTTATATGCTATTCCCTCAAATTCCAAACCTTTCCTAGTCTAAGAGCAACAAATCTTCAATTCCTAGCTTGAAATGCCTATTTCTGGTGCCTACTACATGAGAAACATTATAAAATACCTTATTTCATCAGTGTCTGGTACTTTTGTATAAGGCAGAATGGCTCGCACACGCCTTCTATCTTCTACTGGCTAGAAATTATTAAAAAAAAAAATCAAGATTTAAAAATGACAAATCATCTATCCTTCAAAGTCAAAGAGGTATGTCCAAACAAAGTTACAGCCAATAAAGTCCACATTATATACTCCATAGTATCATTCAACTTAATTTTTACTGACTAAATACTCAAAGCTTAAAAATGTTTGATGCTCTTATTTTTATGTTTTTATAGAAATTCCTTCAAAAGTCTAACCAATATGTGTTTTATCAGGTAATAAAAATGATTTTTTTAATTTTAAGTAATCTACATGCAACATATAAATTTCCTTTCTGCCATGATGTAGAAGCCAACTTTTGCAGCCATTTCCCAATTAGCACTATGAAATCATAATTACTCCAAATATATTCAAAAAATATTTGTGAAGCTATTAATAATTTTTTTAAAATGTATTACTTAAATACAAAATTAAAGAAAAAATACTTTTTTTAAAAGAAGTTTCAAAGACATTTTAGTCAAGTTCTACTCGCCTCTGGTGGTGCAACTGGATAAAGTAGTTTTTCTCCTTTAAGCAAACAAGAAACGTGACTATAATAACCTATTAGGTCTGACAGTGAAGAAAAACGTCTTCCACCAATGTAGTAATCGCCACACATAGCAATAATCCTGTTTGGACAGGAAAAAAATACAGTATAACAATAATCTTTACAGCCAATTTTTTTTTTTTTTTTTTTTTTTGTAGTTCTGGGGATGAAACCTAGGTCCTAGCACATTCCAGGCAAGCACTGTACCACTGAGCTATAATTCCAACCTCTATAGTCAATTTGTAAGACCAAATTTAACAAAGAAATTATAAAACTATAAATTTCATATTCTTTTAAGTATATCCCTGTTTTAAAAATATCATTTGCTAATATCTTAACCACAGGCAAATTACTTGGGGTTATTTTTAAAAAAAAAATATACACATATAGAAGCATATGATATGAAATACATATCAGACTTAAAAACTTCAATTACATAATTCAATCAAGTATTTAAAAATTCATTCTCTGCTATCTCCCCTTCATTTTCCATATTTAAGACTGAGTTAGCAATTTTAGTAAGTTTTCTCTACCCAAAATTCACTCAAAGATATCTTGAAATTTATATAGAAATATAATTTTACCTAAAAAATTATTATACTATCAAATATTAAATTAGATTACTATTAAATTGTGTAAAATTATACTTTATGTAAATATGTAAGAAGTATGATAATACTCTTAAAGCTTATTTTAAAATCTAAACATCAAAGATACATGAATATTTTATAAGTTAACATTATTGACAATAGATGATTTTTTTCAATTTCTCCCACACAAATTAAATAGAATAATATAGGTAAATATATTTTTATACACATATTTTGGTATCTGTACTTGAAAAATCATATACCTGTTTCACTGAAGCAAATGTCTACAGAATTTCAGAACATTGAAGCTAATCTTGTTTTTAAGCAGTGTTTCTGGTGCTTTGTTACTCTGTAGTCTTAAACGTACACATTTCTTTTATTTCAGCTTTAAATTTTTTTCAGAGTTTATTTTTAATTCTTTGTACTTTAAAAGTGGTAAGTATATTTGGGGATTAGTACAGTAATGATCAATAATCATGTTTTTAAGCAAAAAATGTAAACCTTTCAATAATGCCTATTCTAAACCACTGATTAAATCATTTAATTGAGAATAAGTTTTCTCCTCTATTACTTAAATATCACTAGGTCATTCACATTTTCATAAGCAGTCATATTTATGAATACTGCATCAAAATAACTATACTATGCAACCTCACAATAGGAATAAAGACTTACCTAAAATGGTTGACAACATTTGTCTGGCTAAGAAATGAAAGTACAAAGGATCCTGGCCTCCGATCACTCTCTCTTATAAGGTAGCTGCCAGACTTCCCTGCCTGCCTGAGGCGTTCTTCTGCTATAGTTCTATCAAGTTTTCCATGATACCACCTAGAGCAAAAAAGATAAAAGAGATGAGAATAAAAACAGCAACCCTAAAATTACTAAGTTGGCTGAAAAACATACCACAAATTTTAAATATCTACATGTAACTTAAAACATTTATATTTTACTCTGAGCCAGTTATTAAAATTTTAACTCAGTTGTTTACCTTTTCTCAGTTTCTCTAAATATATGCACTTACTCACTTTTAAGTTTGTTCTATAAACTCAGGTCCAATCATACACAAACCTCTTCTAGGGCTGGCGTTGTGGCTCAGTGGTAGAGCTTGCCTAACACGTTTGAGATACTGGGTTCAATTCTCACTCAGCACCACATATAAATAAATAAATAAATAAATAAATAAATAAATAAATAAATAAATAAATAAAGGTCCATTAACAATTAAAAAAATAATTGAAAAATTCTTCTATTTTTACCCATCTTCCAACCTCCACGTTCATCTATTCAAATTACAAACACTACTGGAATCAATTAGAAAAATAAAAGATGGATAAATGGAAATGATTTATGTAGAACTAATCTATGCATTAAGGAACCAATACTTGACATTAACAAGGCACAGGAACCTATGAGAAAATAAAATGTTTTAGTTAAGTGTCTATGCCCTGTGACAGGAAAAAAGCATTATGCTGTCTGAAGGCTGCGGTTCCTTTGTTTTATCTCCTTTTCTTTTCTTTTTTTTTCTCTTTCTTCTTTTATTTTTTCCATCTTTTCTTCCTTCTTTTAAAGCTGACGACTGAACCCTAGGATGCTTTACCACTGAACTATATCCCCATCCCTTTTTATTCTTTAGTTTGACATAGGGTCTCACCCAGTTGCTCAAGGGCATTGCTAAATTGCTGAGGCTGGCCTGTGGAACCTGACATCCTCCTCTCCACCTCTGGAGTCCCTGGAATTATTACAGAGGTACACCACCACAGCCAGGATGCTGCTTTAATAATTTCTTATTTCTAAATGAAGCTGATCATTCCCCCTTGATTCTAACATGATCTACTCCATGACCACATATTTGAACTCAACTTCCCAAGTTTATAAAAATAAAAAATAAAATGTGGGGAATAAATAGCTCCTTTGTCCCTTTAAGCTATCAGATATTCTGCTTAAATAACTAGCTAAAACTAGACCATCCACGCTTTCAATCTATACTTATAAAGCCTCATGAATCAATATAAACAGAAACATACTTAGAAAGAGAACTATTATATGAGAAGTAAACCTATAAAGTAAATATAAAATATTCTTACATTTTTTTATGTGCTAGCTAAACTTATCCTTACGTATTGGTAGTCTCACTAAAGTATTCAGAAAAAAAAACCAAAAATATATAAGTGAATTGTTATGGTTGCAAGTGAGGTGTCCCCCAAAACCTCATGGGTGAGACAATGCAAGAAAGTTGAAAGAAGAAATGACAGAGGCTGGGGCTGTAGCTCAGTGGCAGAGTGCTTGCCTTGTACATGTGTGGCACTGGGATCAATCCTCAGCAACACATAAAAGTAAACAAATAAAGGCATTCTGTCCATCTAGAACTAATTTTATTTTTTTAAAGAAAGAAATGACTGGGTTATATATGAAAGCTTCAACCCAATCAGTAAATTAATCCCCTGAGGGGATTATTTGACCAGTAACTGAATACATGTACTTCATGGCTAGAGGAGGGGAGTCCCTAAGGGCTGCCTTTGGGTTATATATTTGGTATCTGAGTGGAGTCTCTCTGCTTCCTAATCATCATGTGAGATGCTTCCCTCCACCACACTTTTCCACCATGATGTTCTGCCTCACTTCAAACTCTGAGGAATGGAGGAACTGTCTGCGGACCAGGACCTCTGAAACCATGAGCTCCCAAATAAACTTTTCCCCCTCTACAATTTTCTGATGAGATCTTTTAGTCACAGCAGCAAAAACACTGACTAAAACATGAATGATAAATAAAACTGTTGTACTACTCTATTTTTATAAGCCTGATACAATGAAAGATTATCCTTGACTAGTTTGTTTTTTAAATTCTAGTTTGGTTTTTTAAATTCACAAAATTGAGAATTTCTCAAAAGAATTATCTTTTGTTTTCTTCTAAAAACAAGCCTATTTATTTAGAGGTCTGTGCATAAAATTGCAAATAAAATAATAAGACAATCGTACTGTCATTATAACCTAATAAGAAAAACGTAATTATAAACTGTAAGAAGGGAAAAAACAATCTCATATCTCATTATCTTTAATGTGATTGACAAAGTAAATTTTACTTTCAAGAGCTGTTTCATTTTTATCACTTTTTTTAATCTAAAAGGAAAAATTAAGTTAGCTGGGTGCAGTGGTGCATGCCTGTAATCCCAGTGGCGTATGAGGATCACAAATTCAAAGCCAGTCTCAGCAAAAGCAAGGCACTAAGCAACTCAGTGAGACCCTGTCTCTAAATAAAATACAAAATAGGGCTAGGGATTAGGCTCAGTGGTTGACTGCCACTGAGTTCAATTCCCAGTACCCCCTCGAGGCTCAAGTAAAAAGACAATAACTAGAGATCACTAAAGGTCCCTTCCAAGAGTTCAAATTTAATGACATATGAAGACAGAAGTTTGAAATTTCAGGCTAGAAATTTATTTAATTATGAAAGTATGAGACATTCTTAGAATATAAAATATAGATTTTTTTCATTACCTAATGCTGTGGAGATATTCCACAAAGCAGATTTACACATCAAAGGAAGAAAAAATTAAGAAAAATTTTAAGCAAACCATTATTTTTGTTAACTTAAGATTGTTAAATTTCTTCTGTGTTTTAGGCAAAATAATAAGATTAAAAGATTTTGTTTAATCTCCACTTTGTAAATTTAGCATAAGATGATACAAAATTTCATGGAGTATTACACAAGTTGGTCTTTCAGTGTTTACCTTTATGTATGTCAACATTTTAGCATTAAAATGGGTAATCAGGAATGGGGCCTTGGCTCAGTGGTAGGGTGCTTGCCTGGCAAGTGTGAGGCACTGGGTTTGATCCTCAGCACCACATGAAAATAAATAAATAAACTAAGGTATTATGTCCATCTGCAATTAAAAAAATATTTTTAAAAAATAGGTAATCAGTTCAAAACAGACATTAAACAACTTTATTTCCTGAATATTGTTGATTCCCTTTTATGCCAAAAGTATGTAACTCTAAAGAAACAAAGTAAAATATGTCAATTCTTGATTATGACTATAAACTGCAATTAAGTTATCCATCAATCAATCATCTTCTAGAATATATGTAATTGACCGGCTCCTCAAAAAGTTCTAAAATATTTTAATACTACAAACCTCTAGCTGGTCTGGGAAAACCAAGTAAAATTAAGTATGGGAATTTTAACTATTTTTATTGTTTACTTCGAATTATCATGGTGAATCCTAGCAACAAAAATATTTTAAATGCCTCTGCCCAGATACTTGTAACTACTACTTATTTTTATTTATTTTTTTTTTTTTTTGGTAGTTGTAGGTGGACAGAATACCTTTATTTTATTTGTATATGGTGCTAAGGATTGAACCCATTGCCTCGCACATGCTAGGCAAGCACTCTGCCATTGAGCTATAGCCCCAATCCCTTGTAACTTACTTTTAAAGCAGAAAAAGCACTTTAACTACATTGATACATGAAGTCTGTATCCCATTTAAAAAATCAAAATAATAGTTAACATATTAGATTTTAAAAAGTCACTTAAATCGCATATATCAATATAATATGCAACCAAAACAAATATTTTACAAATAATAGTGAGGTAGGATTTAATTCAGACATTTCACAGATTTATAGAACCCAACTAAATATCTTTTTTTTTATTTAATATTTTTCAGTTGTAGTTGACACAATACCTTTATTTAATTTATTTATTTATATGTGATGCTGAAGTTCGAACCCAGGGTCTCGCATATGCTAAGTGAGCGCTCTACCACTGAGTCACAACCCCAACCCCCCAACTAAATTTCTATATCAATTAAAACCTAGGCCTTTTACTCAAAAACAATGCTTCTCAATCTTTTTTCATCCATAAATCTCTTTTTATAAACATTCAAGAGACTCAGAGTCCCTAAGGTAGCAGCAGTTCCTCATGATCATATTTTCTACTGAACTCCAGAAGCCAAAAAATTGCTACTTTTAACTTTCTTATATCTATAATGCAATTTTATTTTAGATATAAAATGATATGGAATATTGCTTCTTAAAAAAACACATGCTCAATAACAAAGATACGATACTCCCCAAGAATAGACAGTTCCCTATGGATATCTAAAATATTCAGTTAAAAAAAATATGCTAGGCTTTCTGCCTTTGCAAACAGTTATAGCAGCAGCATTACAAAGAAATAAAAGAAAATACTTAATCAACCCCACTTATGTCCAAGTGTTTACAGTCAAGGCCTTATTATATCTCTTTTAAGGGTAGCTGGTGATTGTTTTTAAATAAAGTTGTGGGGGGATTTCAATTGGGATCCAGAATATTTAAAACTTCAAACACAGTCAAAAGTGCTACATTGGAAATATAAGGATATTTTGAGTATAACACGAGATTACTAAAATAATGTAATGGCAAGTCCAATCACCTGAACTTTACAAATCTGCTGAGATTTATGGCAATTGTAACTCAGAGATAGGAATAATTTTCAAAAGTGTTTCCTGACTGGGGGAAGAAGTATTAAATCATAAAACATAATGATGTAAAACACAAGTTATTTAGTTTAACTTTCTTGCCGATGTTTAAAAAAAAAAAAAAGTGTTCACTGAGTTCTGATCTTTGAGGGCTATTATGCATATCCAAAAAGAATATGAAAATAGTTTAGGCTAATACAACTCAAAGAAGGATGGTTATACTGACATCCCCTAAATTTGTTCCAAAAGAAACTAAACTGACCAATAGAGGACCAAGACTTACTAGATACAAATTGTCAGAAAGTTTCTTCACAGATATGAGAAAGACTATATATTTTTATGCAATTACTATCACTTGTAAAAATAAGGAAA